TGTTCATGGGACATATGCAACTTAGGGTAAACATACATTTTGTGGGTATGCTTTTAGCAATTCTCAGCCTTGAATGTACATACTCGTTTCAGAACCTCACTTTTTGATTTGAACATGGACATTCGGTACCTACTTTTACTTGGGACCATTGGACGGATCGTTACGGCCTTCCAAATAGAGTGCGATTACACGCTGACTCCATTCAACCATAACCCCGGAATATACCTAGAGAAAATTCGGCCGATTCGCACCTTTCACACCAATTGGAAATTAGTGACAGCCTTAGAAGTAATCGAAATACTATAAAACCGTCCAAACATACAGTGTGATTCTCTCGCTACGCAAGACAAAGGCCGTGCCGCACAATCGAACCCTGCTGTTTTTGCGGGTAAAGAGACCCAGGGGCCATATCGCCGGACCCAAAACTGCTCTGTGTGTGTTTATGGCTGAGACGAAGACAAGAAACGGAACAGCAGGGGTTTCATTGTACGGCATGGCTTTTGTCTTGCGTAGCGAGAGAATCACCCTGTAATACCGCAATGAAATGATATGCGAAGTGTATGCCATTCACACAATTGGACGACATGCCCAGCAGTAACCCTAGAAAAAGAATTAGATAGGAAACAATTTGACGCGCATCGATATGAAGGATTATTCTTCATATCGATATGAAGGTTTCCCAGAATAGTTATAAATAGAAAAATCAAACAGAGAAATTTGCAGAATTTCATGGGGAATGTGCTGTACAAATATAAATATTATAGATCTTACATAACTTCTATTTCTTTTTTTTTTCACTTTATTGCGGTGCAACCCCCAACCAGCTCTTTATCGTTAGTCTATAAGTTAGTTTTATTCAGTAGGAAGAAACAATGCAATCTTAAAGGAATCACAATCTTAAGAAAAAATTTTACCACAAAATATGAACATTTTATATATTAATATGTTTATTTTATTATTTAGTATGAAATTTAAACATATAGTAATAATATAAGACAGTTTCATCTTGCTATAAATCAAGTATCTTATATTTTTTCCAATTTGTCATTTCACTATTTATTATTATTTATTATAATCAAAACACAAATACTTCAAATATCCTTTGATATACTAATACTATCATTATTATAACTTACCTACTCGTTTTACTTTTTTAAAACTAAAGTAAATTTCCCTTTCAGAAGCACGAGTAGAAACTTTATATATTAACTTTATAGCCAAAAGTTAAGACGTTTGTTAAACAAAATAATGCTACTTATCAAGAATATTTGTTATGGGAGAGCGTTTTACTCGTCGAAATACTTCATGTACAATTATTGTTAAAAATGTCAATACTGTGTACGGGTTAAAACCTTGGTATCTCATATTCATACCTTCTGTAATCTACCATACTTTGTTGAAATATTACGTACTGAATCAAATTTCAATTTGACTTATTACATTATAATAAATGTATCTAACATACAAATTAAAATACAAAGTAAAAATTAACAGTTTTCTTAAAAAAGGTTTATCTTTTAAATACGTATTTATTTATGATAGGTACAAAATTTAAATATTCTAAATTCAGTATTTAATTTAAATATTTAAATAAATTATATGAAACACTGATTAAGGATTATTTATTTTAGATAAGCTTTAACTACTGCCTTGCCGTTATTGTATACATTATCTAGGTATTGAATACTTTAACTAGAAATAATGTTCTAAATTCAGTATTTAATTTAAATATTTAAATAAATTATATGAAACACTGAATAGGGATTGTTTATTTTAGATAAGCTTTAACTAATGCCTTGCCGTTATTGTATACATTATCTAGGTATTGAATACTTTAACTAGAAATAATGTGCATTTTATTATTCAATTGATAGTTTGTCTAAAACTGCACGTAGAAGTATACATTAACTGGATTTTATACTTTAACTGTAACACATTCATAAATACTACAGATTTTATCTTTAAGGCACGTTCGATAACAAACTACATATATGGATAGCTGCGTTATTTCATGAAACAAAGCTAAGCCATTAATCAGTATACGAAAATTATGGCTCTTGTTTCAATTTACGATGAAGCATTTCAACGAGCACTTTACTTAATCACACAGGCCTCTTTAACACGAGTTTTACGGTATAATTGGCAGTTTATCCTATCTGAAATGTATTTTACATCTATAGTGTATGTGCTGATTGTAATAATACGTAATTAACTACTTACCTCACAATTTTCGTATCAATTGGATACTGTAGATTTTAGAGTCTAGAATTACAGGAGAGTCTCGTTATATTACCACAGACGAGACTGTAGAAGCGGAAAAAGGTCTAGTCAGGAAATTCGGTTTATATTTATATAAGCATTACCACGTAATGCTTGTGGACTAAAGAACAACTCTAAGCAGTTTCAGCCCCTCCCCTCGGTAAATCCGAGATAAAAATGTATTGTTTCCATATTTTAATAATACCTTGTAAAGGTCAAATCGTGGCAATATAACGAGAGTCTACTGTACATCATGGAATAGAACAAATTCTTTTCTCATGAAAACCATAAGAAATGCCATAAAACATAATTTTATTTCGTTTTTGATTGAAGAAATAAAACAGTTTGATAGAAAATAATGCATTGTCAGTAAAGGTTGGTTCAGATTAGCTATTTACTACTAAATGATTAAGTACATAGAAAAGTGTCTAGACTAATACAGCCAAGCTTTGAAAATCGAGGAAAATAAACAGATGTACTCGACTAAAGAAATGGGTTCAGATAAATTCATATAAGTAGTTATTAGTGAGTGGTGGGGGGAAACCTACTTTACGTTCATACATTTTCCTAGCGGGGTTATTTCACAGGGTTTTTAGTAAGTTATTGAATTACTTGCCACTCGACATGTTTGAACCAGGCTTAATTCTTAACATCAATGATTGCTTGACATTGCGTCGATGGGTACATCGTAATATCAGCTACATAATTTATCATATTAATAAAATAAAAAATGAGAAGATAGCCTATACAGGGTGTCCCAGTTTTAACCAATCAAACTGCACCAGTACGTTCTATGAGTAAAAATAGGAAAAAAATGTTATATAAACATAGGTCTGAAAACGCTTTATAAAAAAGTTATAGCCTAAGCTTAATTAGCCTATAAATCATCATAACAGTACAGATATTTACACAATTCGATCTCTGCATTATCACGTTCAACTATTCCCAATAGTAAACATAAATAAAAGTAATCATAATAGATTTCATTAATGCCTTCGACTTACTGTTACATTTCGATGTACCAACAATTCTCGCTATTAAGCTTAAGCTATTACTTTTTTATAAAGCGTTTTCAGACCTATGTTTATATAACATTTTTTTCCTACTTTTACTCATAGAACATACTGGTGCAGTTTGATTGGTTAAAACTGGGATACCCTGTATATTTCTACTTCAAAGTGTTACTCTGTTAATAATTCACTAATTAAAAAATAATTCAGCAATTAAAAAATTATCGCTTTGTCTAGAGATATCAAATTATGTTATGATGGATCACTGTTTTTGGATGGATTTTGACATGTAACTATAGTCACCTTTAGGATTAAAGAAACCCTCTACAATCGCAAGTTGAGTTACCCTATGTATACATAGTTACCTTTGGTAATTATAAGGTTATCAGAACTTTAACAGTCCCTTAACTTATACCAGGGACGTTCAGCAAGTGCTGTAGGGAGGTATATAAACTTTCATTCGAAAAAAACGCGGACCTGATGAGTCATGCTTCACCTCAGCTCACACAGTAAGTACTTTCGGCCGTGGAGTATTATTGGCTGAAGCGGACACATCTACAGTTCATCCACGAGGTTTTTAATTAATATCTCGGAAACTAATAGGAAGCCGAAGATACCACTTTATATTTGGGGTCCCCTCTTCCCTGCCCCCTGCCCCTCAAAATTTCATCTTGATCGGCGACCGGTCATATTCGGAACTTCATCCTTTAATAATTCTACGAAACAGTTATTAAAATAATTGAAGTCCAAGATCTCTCGTCTATAAGAATATTTGCAAGGCTAGGTAAGCTTAGGTTAGGAACGCTCAGCAAGTAGTAAGCCGGGCACGGGCGCCCGCCGATGCCCGTATTTGCACCCGAGCTCGAAGTACGCCCTCGTCTCGGACAAATCGTTGGGAGTGGTGGGGTACTTCCCATTCCCAAAGTTTCCCGAGGTCATGCAGCTGAATGCCTTTCACTTCTCAATCTGATTTACAACTCTTGTGTCCACATCAAAGCATCGCGTATAGGAACGGACGGGACTTCCGCATAAGTGTAAACTTTACGGTGACACGTGATAACGTATGTCCTTCGTAACACGTGCCCGTAGGCCTATCGTAGCAATGTTGTCCCCCCACCGCCGATCGATAATCGCAGTAGTATAGACATCCGTATGGCGACCTGCCTGAGCGTGCCTGATTTATACATACAGTGGGTCACAAAACTATTCGCCCAACATTTAAAACAGAACACCTCATTTAAAATTGGACCAAATATCGTGAGGTTTCTTAAGAAACTGTAAAAATTAATTTACTGATATATGTGCTTTTGTTGTTTTAAAAAATTACAATTTGTTGGAACTGTGAGAAAAAATAGTGAAGAGTAATTTTTCAACTTCTTTATGTCAGCCTGTAATGAAAATTTAAAATATGACATTTGTAAATTTAAGTATGTTATGTGTATATTGAAAATTTCATCAAGATCGGTCATCCTTAGAAGTTACAAGTAATTAAAATTTCCGAGAATCGCAACTTTTCGTCTAAGAACATAATTAGTCACATATTGCTATTATAATAATAATGTAAGATAGCAAATAGAAAACTTAACATATGAAATTTGAAAATTAACTATTCCTATTTCTAATAATTAGAACTTCAATACATTTCACAGCAAATACTCATTTTTACAGTGACAGTCAACTTGTTAAATTACACTTTTACGATACTAATAAATCATTGTTTTATGTTTGTAGGTGAAATTGCCATTCGTGTGTTTCGAGCATGTACCGAACTGGGGATTCGTTCGGTGGCTATCTATTCCGAACAGGACAAGATGCAAATGCACAGGCAAAAAGCAGACGAGGGTTACATGATTGGCAGAGGGCTTCCACCTGTTCAAGCTTATCTGAATATTCCGGAAATCATCAAAGTTGCAAAAGAAAACGACGTAGACGCTATTCATCCGGGTTATGGCTTCCTATCTGAACGATCCGATTTCGCGGAAGCAGTAATTAATGCTGGAATGAGATTCATCGGTCCTAGCCCGAAAGTTGTTCAGCAAATGGGAGATAAGGTATAATTTCCAATTAATAACTATAGTATATTAAAGTAAAATATTTTTGCTATATTAGAATAAAATTCTAAGTACATTTCCGTATTTTAGTCGCCCCTTCTCCTTTTTAAAAAATGAAAAATTTAATTTATACCAATATACAAAATAGCAATAAAAAACAAGGGGAAAACATTGTGCTTTTTACCACCCATTAACACAAATATTTGTACTGTTTTCCGCTCATGAGAAGTTTTGTGGGATGGCATAGAGATACGAGGAGGCACTGCGCACACATCGACCGGTCCTGTAGTTTTATACGAGCCTAATTAGTAAAGGTGTTTTTGTCTTGTCAGCGGAAAACTGTACGATAAAATTAAAATGTTGCACGCATGGAAAAAGCACGCGAATTTTGAATATTAATGATTTATAAATTCATTTAGTATTCCATACCCCTAAGTCAGTAAAGTCTACTTTCACAAGAGTTATCATACCATACTTGACGTCCCTGGTTCAATATTTGGTATTTTGTGATTTATAGTAAATGATTTATAAATATATCTATATCTATAGAGGAAATTTATACAACAAAAATGTTATATAAAGCCAAAATATTTTAACAAATAATGTAAATATTTTACCATTAACATTGGAGCATAATTTTATGAGCAGAATGATATGGAAATTTTGATTTTTTGTGAGTTCTGTTAGAGTTGACGATTAAAAAAGGAGATTTCTAAGAACTTAAAATTTTATATCTTTCAAATCAGGTATAAAATACCATTCAGATAAGCTCTTTTTTATTGCTTTCTCAAGTCTAGCGCACGACAAAATAAAACATGTTTCAGCACCGTTATTTATATGTATAAATTTCAATTTAATATATTCTCCAAAGGTCATACTTTGAAATTATATATTAAAAAAATCAAGTTTTTTAACTCGTTCGTATGTAGTTTTTTAACACATTGATTGTCATGTTGAAAATGTCCAAAATTTCATTAATAGTATTCTTATCTTGAACAAATTTTATTTATTATTTTTACGGTATTTCGTTATTTCTATGATCCATCATTTTAAATATTTATTATAAATTTTTCTAATTTGGCAAATAAAAGAACTCGTAATAATATGGATGATAGATTTCTATGGAAAGTCAAACATTACTCAAATATGGGTTACATGACAGTTAACGTGTTAAGAATGACAAAGAAAAATTGGACGCCCAGTATAATATGGCATTCTGGATACCGTATAATTATTGATACACTTTCTTTATATCTCTAAAAATAACAAAGATAATTAAAGTGATCAAAGTCATTGGACCGCTTTGTTTAATAAGTAAATAAATGTTCTTGATTTAGTAATTTCACAAAAAGTCTGTTTAAATATAAATTTAAATTATCAATTTTTATATTGAAATATATAAAAGGGAAGCTCTCACCTACTGACTGACTGACTCATTATTAATTCTTCCATTTCCGGAATAGATAGAAGGTTGAAATTTGATATGATTGATCATTATAAAATACTTAGAAAAACTATGTATAAATAATTTTGGGTAATAATCCTTAAGGGGGTAACAAGGAATTTCAACTGCTCGAAATGAGATTTTTAATCCTCGGATGGCTGATCATGCAGAGTTTCAATTTTAATTTAATTTCGCGTTTGATATTATTTTCATTTTCGAAATTTTATACTGTTCCTTTAAAAATTATTCTTCCAATATGTGATACTCCTTCATTTAAAAATTATACTATTTAGAAATTATATTGTACATATTTTGTAACTATAGGTCTTGATTGACTCAGACTTCGCTGTTTAAGGGTTAATTGTCCTACTTACAGAATAGTTAGAAGGTTGACATTTGGTATAGCTATTCATTATGAATTATTTAAAAGTCCGAATGTATGTCATTTTGAATAATCATCTTTAAACATGTAAAAAGGAGGTTAAACCCCTTAAACTAAATAATACTATAAAATTTATATTTATGATAGGTTGATAGTACAATTAAAAGTATATTACAAACTGTATGATTTTAATGTCTTTTGATATTTCATAAAACTTTTGCATAAATTATATTTTTAATTTTGCTGTCATTGCCGCAAATATTCTAAATCAGAAATACTCGAGCAATACTGGGTGATTGTACTAGTACTGAAATAAAATTAATTGTTTAGGTAGCCGCGAGAGTAGCTGCAATAGAAGCTGGAGTGCCAATTGTTCCGGGGACAGATGGACCAGTGACCACGTCCGACGAGGCGATGGAATTTTGTATAAAACACGGACTTCCGGTTATTTTCAAAGCTGCATACGGAGGAGGAGGAAGAGGTAACTTTAACTTTAATCCTTGGATATTAGTACACTAAGACAGTGATAATTTAAATTTAATTTTAGACTTTTTAATTCTTACTTTGCAAGTTTGAAACTACATATTTCTTTAGATATTATTTTTATTTTTTAATATATGGAAATTTTCCTTAAACAATTTGAGTGCCTAATTTTATTAGAAGAATTATTATTTATCTTTTAGAGGAATAACATTAAAATATTATGTTTTATAATATTTTTATGAAAGTTTAGATTGTTCAATGATGGAAGAATTATATTATATGTAAAAAAAACTAAAATTTAGATAAATATTGTAATTTTTTCATTTTTAAACCGCAAGTAATTGCTTTTTGTAGTAAAAACAAAGAAAAATTATTGAAACACCAAAGATAATTTCAAACTGAGGCTATTAAAATAAAAACTTAAATTTCGATTTTTTAATAAACCACTCCTCAGATGAAGAAAAGTTAAGCGTTGCCAATCGATTATGCGATATTGCGTATTTATTGTATTTATATAAAATTTCTACAATTTAATATTCCTGTTATAATATTTAACGTTAACAGCCAATAATCACAAAATCGAATAGATCGAATAGAATAAGCAAACGAGTTTAGGTAAATATGCATAAAAAGTCACATATCTCCAATCCAAACGCCACCCATATATATTGCAGGGGGTAATGCCCTGAGTAGCTCCCGGCAAGAATCAAGTGGCAATTGCTATTGGTTTAAGAAAGATAATAAATAAAAATTTGACAACAAAGTTTGCATACGTCGTAATAATGTATGATTTTTTGACAAATATGTCTCTTTATGACCTTCATGAGTGATCGGGAGAGGGGCAGAGTGTTAGTAATAACTATCTTACAATTAGTTAGCAATTACTATCTTTAACGAAACTCAGAAATTCGTGTAGCTGCATATTGAAGACCCGATTGTTGACAAAATATCCATGTAGCTATGTTTTAAATAATGTAAATAAAAATTTTGTCACTTAGAGGTCATAAACAAACTACGACTGTTCCTAATGTGAATCTACATTATTTAAGCAAAAGCATTAAAATTGTTAAACTTTGATTTATTATATCTCCTAAACCAGGCCTGTCCAAGTAGGGGGATTCACTCCTGGAACACATGTTTTGGGTCCGCTTCCAACGCTGCTCCTTCAAGTAAGATGGGACCGAGGAGACAATACCGCCGCTAGGAAAGACGGAGAGACGGTAGTCGGAACCGTCCCATCTTACTTGAAGGAGTAGCGTTGGAAGGGGACCCAAAACATGTGTTCCAGGAGTGAATTCCCCTACTTGGACAGGCCTGTCCTAAACCAATAGATATTGACCGCCACCTAATTCTTGCGAGGTATGTATTGTACGCGTCTACTAAGTTGAGACTCGAGGTGTGAAACGCTCCGCCTAATCCTCACCACGAACCCTCGTCTAGTAGTAGTAGTAGTAGTTTCTACTAGTAGTTGTAACCTAGAGAGCGAATAGCGAGAATGCGTGTGGGTCAACTGTATAAGTGTGCGTGTCTAAGTCTGGCCCATCTAGCTCCGACCAATCAGACCCAATTCCTTAGGAGTCTCAACTTAGCAGACGCGTACAGTACTTACTTACATATCACTTGGAACAGTGGTGTATGAACTACACAAATTATTTTATGGCGGGGGTAATGAAAGGCCCGCACGAAGGTCCTATACTATACAGGGTGTTTTTTTCGCAACCGGACACAAAGGAACTGGCGACAATGAACCCCTTGACCGCATCATGTAGAGGTCCGTAAACACACAGAGTCGTCTCGGCCTGGGTAGGTCTCCGGTGGCACGTGACAATGCGGACCTCTTCATGGTTGCGTCAAGGGGTTCATTGTCACCAATGTTCCTTTGTGTCCGGCTGCGAGAAAATCACCCTGTATACCTGGTAGTATACAGAACTCTGCAGAGCCGCAAAATAATTTAATATTAATATTTTTTGAATGACTAAGGCCTTCCAAGCTGCCAGGAATATATTTTTTTTCAATATATGAAATAGATAGTTATGTTTCACTGACTAAAGCCATTCAGGCCTTTTTTTATTAGTACTTTTTTCGCTGACTAACCTAACCTAACCTTTTTCTGTCTAATCGAAACTAAAAGAAAGCTCCCGCTGCTGATTGAACGGGTTAAAGGTTGTACTGTGTAATCCGCGCAGGAGGAGCCTAGCTGGCTCCACAGCTCGCATGCGCTACTTTCCAACCCAGGTATACAGTACAGGACCCTCGTGCCTTTTATGGTCCCGCTATAAAGAAATTTGTGCAGTTCGAGGCCCACCACTTGGAACACTCCTCTTTATAACATATTCAAGTGGCGCTCAAATGGGAGATGTGTGACATTTTCTGCATATTTAGCCGAATTTCTACTTAATAAATATATAATAAATAAAAATGTATTTATTTATTTTCGCAGGAATGAGAGTTGTAAGGCAAATGGAAGAAGTGCGAGAATCATTCGAGCGTGCATCATCGGAAGCGAAAGCTGCTTTCGGAAACGGAGCAATGTTCATTGAGAAATTCATTGAAAGGCCAAGGCATATTGAAGTTCAATTGCTGGGAGACAATGCTGGCAATGTCGTTCATCTTTACGAACGAGATTGTTCTGTGCAACGTCGTCATCAAAAGGTCAGTACCCGAGAACTAAGTATTCTTAGATTATGGTCGTTCATACATAAAATCGTTTGTTTTCCTTCTTCTTTCAATCAATGTGATTTTAAAGATATAGGTTTAATTTGTACATTTCGATTACACTGACTGAGTGGCATTGGTATTTATACCCTTTTAATTACCAATTGGATGTGCACAATGCTTTTCTAACTATTATTTCAATTAATTTAATTTTTATCAATAAAAGTCAATTTAATGTAAAATCAAAATTTTATCTCGGTTTTTGTATCTTTAATTAAATTTACACTATTGATCAAAATCAATACTTCATCAGTAGCACGACTAGGAGAGGTCAGAAGGGTCGGTTAACCTGTTAACAAAATTAAAAACTTTTTCTTTTGATAAATAATGGAATAATATCGAAAATTTAAAAAAAACATCGTCCGGACTAAACAAAAATAAAAAAAAATTATACTTATATCATCATACATTTTTTTATCTCCATCTTAGTTAGACAACTATGGTTGTATGTACACTGGGCGGGGGTGTATATTGTAAAAACCGGGAAAATTAGCAAATTTTAGTGAATTTTCTTTCATAATTATATAAATTATATTTCGGTTTTCAACTATTTACAAGAAATGATCCCGAACCCGGAAATTAAAAAAGTATGAAACTTTGCGAATATGTTGGAGATGTCCTTCTGATTAAAACGCAGTTTTTGTTTGCGGGGTGAAAATCAACCTTAATATTCTTTTTCTCCGAAACCGTTAAAGATATCAAAAAACTTCATAAGCAAAAGTTGTTTGCCTTATCGTTAATGTATAGTATTTTTTTATGTTAAAACGAGACATTGTTTTTAAACATTTTTGTTCATAACGTTTTGTAATTGAACAATTTCTTGTTTCAGTTTCGAGAGATACTGTATATTAAGACGAACAACTTTTGCTTATGAAGTTTTTCGATATCTCTAACGGTTTCAGAGAAAAAAAACTTTAAGAGCGATTTTCATCCTTTTAGACTGAAAATGGGCAGCAAACGAAAATTGCATTTTAATCAGAGAAGACGTCCCCCTTATAATCATAAAATTTCATAATTTTTTGAATTTCCGGGTTCGGGATCATTTCTTGTTAATATATACATACAGTGTGTCCGCGCTAAAGTGTGACAGACGTTTTATTTCGTAACTATTGATGATAGGAAAAATTGTTTATATGGAAATTGCACGGTACAAGGGGGCCCATTTTTGGCGTGAACGAAAATTTATTTACATTATTAGTTTAAAAGATATGATGGTCAAGTTTCGTTTTTTAAATGGAACTATATATTTTTTTTCACATCATGTGATATGTAGTGCTTTTCAAGACGAATTCATTAAGCTTTAATGTATACACCCGATTTTAATTAGTTTTCAAGATATAACGTTTACAAATTTCCCGATTTTCAGTAGATACGTTTCGGTTTGACGATGAGTGGCAAGTCGTAAAAGTGGCCCTATTGTAGCGGTCAGTGCCTCAGTGGGGATCTACGCTAGGAACGGCAGAGCCAAAGAATAAGAAACCGCAACAATAGGGCCGCTTTTACGACTTGCCACTCAAACCGAAACGTATCTACTGAAAATCGGGAAATTTGTAAACGTTATATCTTGGAAACCATTTAAAAAACGAAACTTGACCATCATATATTTTAAACTAATAATGTAAATAAATTTTCGTTCGCGCCAAACCATGGGCCCCCTCGTATCGTGCAATTTCCATATAAACAATTTTCCCTATCATCAATAGTTACGAAATAAAACGTCTGTCATACTTTAGCGCGGACACACTGTATATAAGGGGTCTCAAAACAGTTGCACAATTTCAAAATTGCAGATTGTCAATACTAACACAAATCAAGAAATTGTTTACCATTTTGCAATCCACAGCTTGGTTTCCGAGGTTAAACAATTAAAAATTGCTTACATATGAATTATGTATAAGTTGCTGAGTCGTTATCAGATATGCACAACCGACGACACATTGTCTGAGGTCAGTGGGGCGCATGGTGGAATATACACGCATACACAGCAAATATCTAATTTTCAATCGTTTATATATATCTCAAAAACAAAGCTGCTAATTATTATTTTTGCATTTATTTTAGCGTGAACAATGTGTTCACAGTATAATGTACAATCTTTAAAACTACCTGTGAAGGTCGTAAACAGTAAAAAGGTTCATGAAGTGAATACTTTAATAAATATAATAATTAAATCTTTGCATTTTATTGATGCTATTATGGAGATTCAAGCTTTACTAATGTAATAAATAATATGTAGCAAATTAACTAATGAAAATAACATGAAACAGAAGACTTTTATTAGGTAATTAATGACAGCACCATTCATTTTATAAAGGAAAACTAATAAATCTCACTTTTGCATCGCCATGTTTTATTGGTAATACATTTTTATATTGCAATTTTTATAATTCTACTATAATATTTACCAATTTATGATTTTCTGGTTCCCTAATGGATTCTACTCTGCGGTACATACAGTGTTAATTTCATAATCGCTTAGTTTAGAATGGCTTTCATTTTAATAATATTTAATTTGGAGATTAACGAAATGTTGTCCAATCAATATTTTGATGTATTTATTTATTAATTATCATGAAGAATTCTTTAAATTAACAGTACATTATATTGCATTATTGTATTTTTATTTTCACTACAAACTCTATAGCTTATACAAGGTGAGTCACATAAAGCGTTACAAACTATTATTTCGGAAAATCTAACAGCTATCAATTTTATGTATTTTCTAAATTAATTGATACAAAGTGCCTAATTGTTTGATATATAAAAAATGTTTCTAAGATGGCTACGATGGGGTCAGAATAAACAAACGTCGTCTTTTTTAAATGTGATGCTATACTAATTTTTGCTATTTAAATTAAAAAAATGTATTTATTTTAAGACATTTAATATCTTATTGGAAAATTATTCTATTGGAAGCTATTTTACATTCACGTAACAATTTTCATGACGATCTTATAAGTTTACGCGTTATTGACAACAGATGGCGGAATATGATTGCAAAGATTGACATTTGATTGCAAAATTCAGTATTACAAGTATTATTTTTTCTTAATTATTTGTGAAGTATTTTTCAATTAAAATGCAATCAACTTGAATGAGAATATATGTATAAAAAAATTTTCATTGTTGGTGTAAGAAAAAAAATATTAAAATATTTTCGATTTTTTGTGGGTTAACACTGTATTACAAAATAACGTCTAAATATAAATAAATGAATGAAATATGTAGATGCTATAACTGTTTGAATTCTTACGAGGAAATCACTCATGTTTCCATCCATCACTTATCATCCAATATAATTAATCAGAATAATTGATTAATATTGTAAATCTCAATAATCTACAGTTTAAGATAAATGAATAAACGTGCATATATGTTTATTGCTTCGTTCCAAGGTTTCATTAGATATTTGAATGACGTCCATGTTCTTGCGTTATTAGCAATTCATGTATTACAGAAAAAATTAGGCCAACGTGCAGACAAAAGTGCAGATTGTGTTAACGTTACTAAAAAAGGAAGTAATTAAAACATTCTCGAGTAAGACATATGTATTGAAGTATTGCGGATATAGTATTCCCCTTCTAAAACCATACAAATAGTGTTTACAAAATTTTCAAAAAATAATACATGGTACACTCATGATTAAATTAAGCTTCCCTAGGGAAAATGGTGATGTCCCGGGTGCCTTGCGGAATGCATCCTTGCGGAAAATGACAACGCAGGAGTGTTCGGTTACGGATGGGCAACTTTTCGAGACTTGGTAGCTGGGATTATTCTGAACAACTTTTTCCTTTACCAAAATGCTCGTTAAACCTTAATTTTTGAATTATTAATGAAAAACACCGACCAATCAAAGTGCGCGTACCACGCGAGCTCAGCGGTGAGAGTGTTGGCTACGAACTGAATTAAACTCAATGATGCACAGTGTGGGATTTCTGGCGCATGCGCATGTATTAATCCATTAACTGCCAAATTTTTTTTTTTTTTTTTTCAAATTTTTGGCCGGATAAGTTATGTACATATGCATATTTTTGGCACCGAGTACATACGTAAAATTCCAAAATCCTCAAATGGGGATCGTGGCAGCTAATGGGTTAAGAAAACATTAGGAGCGTCTCTATGACGAACCTATGTATATCCTTTAAATATGAAGGTACCTCAGAAATTTTAAAGCGGGGAGAAAGCTTTAATATAATGAAAAAGAAAAGGATACAGTTACATGTTTCACCGTCCCTAAAATAGGACAATGTATATATATATTCTGAAAGGTCTCGACGAGTCCTGTCAAATGAGCCTAGTCTCAGGTTGCGCAAATAGAAAAAATTAACCTAGATTAACCTAATTAAATCGAGAGAGGAAATTGTGATTGAGCTTTGTATGGTTAAGGTCTTCGGAAAAAAATTATTTCGTTTTTTTGCTCCTCGAGGATTCGAACTCCCGGTCTTACTGTCGAAGAGCGAGTGCCTTAAGCTATACGCCACTCAACCGCTATTATAAATAGGAACAAAAATTCAACCGGTTATAACTTTTTCATTATTCGTTTGCGCAACCTGGGACTAGGCTCATTCGATAGGATTCGTCAAGATCTTATCAGGGGGCATCCTAATTTTGGTTCTACGGGTGGTAAAACATGGAACTGGCAGCCAAAAAAAATATTATGTATATAGGTTTTATAGGTACTTAAACTAATTGTAAACGGTAAAACTAGGTAAACTATGGATGAAACGGGTTCGTCGCGAGTTCGTCGCGGATTCATCGCAGGGCACGTCTATATCCCATACGTCGTCGTCGTCAACTGATTGTCGATTTTTTATGATCGGTCGCGTCGCGGACCCCCTGCGATCCCCCTGCCATCAGCAGTAGAATCCAGAATATTCTAGAATACATCTTTTATTTCCTACATGTAAATGATATTAATAAATTGTGTTGCTATTTTGTACGTCTCTGCAGCCAATTTATTATACGAATACTAACATTTGTTGCAAAGGTAAGGGAAACTGAAGAAAATACGTGGGCAGCTTTCAGACGTGTAATGTATACAGCTACTTGTAATGTCATTTCCGTATATGCAGATAGCCTCTCAGTGAGAAAAAAATCCCACGATTGCGAAATAGTGGTTTGACCTAAGTGTAAGTCGCGTTTAATAACAAAAGTACTGTCCATCGATGTCAAGAAGTCTCGCGGGACGGCAGAGGGGCAAGAGGAGATACTACGCACACATCGACTGACCCCCTAGTTTTACACGAGCCCACAGCCGCATCTAGTAACTAGCCGTGCTGAAGTAAAAATGGCAACACCGCGGAAGTCTGGTGTGAATATATCAACACCTACCCTACTCTATCTGCCTCCCGGACTCCCAGACTCCCAACCAATCAACGTCGTCAGACTCCCGATTACTCTCTGGACTTCACATAACCTCTTTGGTTTCGTTCCAATAATTTCGCTTGTTTCAAGGTTTTTATTAACTTATATACACGTTTATGAATTCTTAAATGTTTCAATTTGATCCAAAGATGGTTTCATTTTGCTTCATACCTAAATTTTCTTGAAACCACTGTAAATATTTCAAATATGCTTCACAATACCAAACTACTTCGAGAGTACACAAAGTTTATATCACATTTAAAACAATTTTATACTACCACATCACTTCTATTTGCCATAGTTGCAACGTTTATATATTGTTTATACATAATTAACACAAAATAGTGTATATTACTACAGCTTTTAATTAAAAAAGACGTTAATTACAATTCCCAGCACAGGACTCTGTTTTTGAAAATAGGACTCCCGATTGTCACGTGAGCGGTGTTGCCACGTTGTTCAGCATAGCTAGTACTAGAGTCGGCTGTGACGAGCCTGATTAATAGATGTGACCGCGTCGATCAATCATACGTCACGGCCGACGTCACGTGTGAGCCGAGGTGGGGTGCGGCCAATCAGACTGCGTTATTCTCATGGGACTTCTTGTGATCGGTGGACAGTACTTACGTTATCGACGTAGTAAATTCTCAATCAATTTTCGCGCGGCTTCTCGTAGCCAACACTATCACGACTGAGCCCGCGCGCTATGCACGCTCTGATTGGTCGCTGTTTTTCATCAATAATTTAAAAGCTAAGCCTTAACGAGCATTTTGCCAAAGGAAAAAGTTGTTCAGAATCACTTAAATTACCACCTCTTGAAAGGATGCCCACTAGGGATGGCGTATAGAATCACTAACAGTGATTTATCACAGTGATCGCAAAATTACGATCATAGCCGTGATTTAATTTTATTCACGACCGTGATTGCGATTTTTTTTATTTTAAGTAATTGCTCACTGTGATCCTAATTCTTGATCTTGATTGAATTCAATATACAGTGACTCACGAAATTGATCAAATACTTTCCATCGTTATACTTTTTATTTAATCAAAATGTAGTGACTAATTATAGATCTTTGGAAATGCATTTGATCAATAATTTAAATTGTTATTCCGTGACCTTGTTCAAACGTTAACTGTTCTAAAAAAGCTGTATTTCAAGAAAACTAGGAATATTGTTATTCAACACCCTTGTAAAACGGTTGCAAATGTTCTCTTTGGTGTAAGGAAAATGTGGTGCATATTATAGGGTCGGAAAATAAGGAAATAGGGATTATCTGGAATTCAGTGGTTAGTAAAAGAAGAGTAACAAGGTCGAGGTTCGAGGATGACTGGTAAAGGTGAATCATTGGTTAATGAAGTATTTACTTTGGGATTGTTTATTGCTGAGGATTAATTTATGATGTTTGCGAGAGAATGAGGAAGCCAGATTATTCACATAAAGACTATACATTACGATGGCATACAACAAATTATATACTAAATTTTATAATATTTCATAATTAAAAGTTATATTATTTTCTTTCTAAATTACTTTTAATATTGATATCGTCGGAATTAAGATTCTGAAAATTTCTGGTTTCGCTATATCGCCATTTTCCTTATGAAAATCTGATTTGATCGTAAGTGTACTTTATATTGTAGCAAGAAATAACATATTCTGATGATTTTGTTGATTTCAGGTTGTCGAGATTGCTCCTGCACCACGATTGGATCCCAAGATTAGAAACGAAATGACTGAGCGTGCTGTGCGATTGGCCAAACACGTTGGTTATTCAAACGCTGGTACTGTTGAATTTCTGGCTGACGAACGTGGAAACTTCTACTTCATTGAGGTCAATGCTAGGCTTCAAGTAGAACACACAGTAACCGAAGAAATCACTGGGTAAATAAATGAAGTTTGTTTGGAAACTAATCTTCACTTTTCAATATAATTTTTTGCGCGAATAAGAATTTTGTTTATTTATTTTTTAAGTATACTACTATCCAAAACTATTTGCTCATCTATAACTTCTTGTTAAAATTTGGAGAAAAAAATAGTTGGTATTTATAATAGAACTAGGTACGACCCGCTCGTCCCTTGCGGCCTCACGAGCCCCACGTTCCCCGGAAAATTCGCCTTTTTGAAATATAGCCCGTCAAAGTCTAAAAAATCTATTGTTAGACGCGCGCAGACTGCATAATACCAAAGTGACTTTTTTCAACGATATTACGTAAAATGTGCGACCCATAGACTTTCTATAGGGAATAGAAACCCTTGTAACTTTTGACTCCGACCACTTTAGACTTTAAATTTTAAACGCATAAACGGTTTTGAGCTAGTCTCACAATCAGTGAGACCTTTCTAACGACGTATACAGGGTGTCTCAATCCAAGTCTAACAGAGCTGTTATTCCGTGATTAGTAATGATACAAAAAATTGTTGATATGGAAATTGCATGGTAAAATGGGGCCTATGTTTTGGCCAAAGTGAAATTTTTTTTGCATTATTAGTTTAAGAGATATGATGGTCAAGTTTTATTTTTTAAATGGAGCTACATATTTTCTTTCAGATCATGTGATAGTGCTTTTCAAGTCGAATTTATTGAGCTTTAATGTATATGCCAGATTTTAATTAGTTTTCAAGATATAACGTTTACAAATTTACTGATTTTCAGTAGATACGTCTCGGTTTGACTAGCAAGTCGTAACAGCAGCCTTATTACATATTGCGGTAATTGCCACAGCTGGGGTCTACGCTAGGAACGGCAGACCCAAAGAATAAGCACTATTGGCACTTATCGCAACAATAGGGCCGTTTTTACTACTTGATACTTGAATCGAGATGCATCTACTGAAAATCGGAAAATTTGTAAACATTATATCTTGAAAACTGATTAAAATCGGGTGTATACATTAAAGCTTAATGAATTCGTCTTGAAAAGCACTACATATCACATGATGTGAAAGAAAATATATAGTTCCATTTAAAAAACGAAACTTGACCATCATATCTTTTAAACTAATAATGTAAATAAATTTTTGTTCACGCCAAAACATAGTTGTACTATGCAATTTCCATGTAAACAATTTTTCGTGTCATCAATAGTTACGAAATAAAACGGTTGTTACATTTCAACGCGGACACCCTGTATATAAACAAAAATAAATTCAAAAGAAGGAATAAATTTTTGTTTGTTTAAGGTTTCATTTCCAGAAAAATTATATTTGAAAATTCTATCTTCAAACAAAATTTTATTTTTCTGTAATATTGATCATTTTAATAAACCATTATTTTATATGCTTTCTTTGACATAATGCAATTTTTTTTAAGTTATTTACACAATAAATGATTTAAGAGTAATTTAAAAAAGTTACATCAGATGCCACACTTTACATAATTAATGTTAAAGTTAAAAACTCTTGAAAATCAACTATCAATTATGATTTCAGAATTGATTTAGTGCAATCTCAAATTCGTATTGCCGAGGGTATGACGTTACCTGAGCTGGGTATGACTCAGTCGAAGATTATCCCTCAAGGTTCAGCCATACAATGTCGTGTAACCACGGAAGATCCTGCAAAGAACTTCCAACCAGATACCGGAAGAATCGAGGTGTTCCGTTCGGGAGAAGGTATGGGCATCCGATTGGATGGTGCATCGGCGTTCGCTGGTGCGATCATTTCACCTTACTACGATTCGCTTCTTGTTAAGGTAAACCTCGACGTGAACGTTGATGTTCTATTAAATTACTTAAATAAAACAAAAACAGGTTAGATGTTTTAATTGTAAGAATCTAATTGTAAGCTTACTTTCATGTACAGGGTGAATCAGTAAAAACTACCATCTGAAATAATGTGTTATCTACATAGTTTATCAAATATGTTTAGAGTGCAATTTATTGTATCAGAAAGATACATTTAGATTTTCTGATACAATAAATTTCTCTTCAAACGATTTTTAGTAAAGTCTGTAGATAAGGAGTTATTTTAAGTGGCACCTTTTACTAACTCATCCTGTACGTCCTTTAAATAACTAATAAAAGTACAGAATAACTGATTGGTCAACATAGAACAACTGATAAATGGAAACGAAATTTATTAAACCATAATAAACGATACACATAATAATAATAATGTGAGGTATCATTAGGCACTAATAAGGAAATAAGTTATAAAGTAAATTCGGTAAAATTTTGAATTAGAATTGTATATATTATTATATAATACTGCAATTTATATTGGAGATATACTAGAAAAATGTTTGAAAGTTAGTGAAATATTATGTAAGTACTTTGAAAGAAACCAGGATGTCTAATTTGCAAATTTCATACATAATTGAGAATGTGAAAATTATTGAATTAAAAATAATAATCTTTTAAATCAAGCAAGAGCTGAATCAGAAATACACAAAGAATAGCAATCATAGTACATAGTACAAACTGAGGTATCATTCATTAATTGCAGACAACATTATTTACTTTATTTGTTTTTAATTTTCCAATCATTTTGTTACAGTATTTAAAACCAGTTGGTCAAATTATAAAAGCCATTTTAATATGAACCTACTAATTACAGCATGGTTATATTACAACATGAAAATAATATAAGAACCAGTTAAAAAGAAAGTTTTGTTTTCAGGTGATAGCTCATGCAAGTGATTTGCAAGCATCCTGTGCGAAAATGAACCGTGCTCTACGTGAGTTTCGTGTTCGTGGTGTGAAAACGAACATCCCTTTCCTATTGAACGTGCTGGAGAATCAGAAGTTTCTTAGCGGCAACGTGGACACCTACTTTATCGACGAAAATCCGCAACTCTTCCAGTTCCAACCAAGCCAGAACCGTGCTCAGAAATTGTTGAATTATCTCGGTTCCATTCTGGTGAATGGTCCCAGTACTCCACTGGCAACATCACTGAAACCTGCTGATATAAAACCACACATTCCCCAGATTGCGCTAGGTATGGTACTTAAGATTCCATAAGGTGTAATCAACATCATATCACATCTATCCGAGACACTACAATCGCACTTTGGACACATTTCTACTTTCTGATCTTGTGGTGGAAATAATTGGGTACGATTGAAAAGATAGAAACACAAGGGGGACTGCTCTTAACGCGAGGATCGACTAATTAATCCTTTGACTACCAGTTACATATAAATAAAAAGTGTAATATCTATAGTCGAGCTACAACAGTCATTTTTTAAAACAATTTTTGTAATATTCATATAATGAGTTGCTTATTTTAGTGGCCACTATTGTTCATAAATGATTATAGTAGTCAAAGGGTTAAGGGAATAGACAATTCTTTTTCTGACTCACTTTTATTGTATATAGAGGGTGTCTACTAAAAACTAATGGGATATATCTTGAATTTACTACATTCGTGAAATATTGAAAGCTTGACAACTTTTTGTTTGGGACTGTTGGTAAACGTTTAATGACTACTGCTACCGTTTCATAAAAAATTAAGCTGTAGTTTAGGTAGGTGATCAGGTAATTTTATTTTCATTTTTTTTTATTGCTAATTTAACAACTAATATATTTAAAGAAAAGGATATTTCTAACAAGGGAGTATCATTTACAAATATTTACTTATTTATTTTTTTAATAAATAGAAAATAGTTCATAAACTATAAGTACCAAGAAGTTGATATGGAATAACATTTTAAAAAGTTATGGGAGAGAAAGCCAGTTCTAGGTCATATTATTACAGGGATTGTGGCTCATTTCCTTTTTATTTTTAATAGAACTTCATATTCTTTTTTAAATAAATTGATTTTTTGAAGCATTTTATATAAAAAAGTATTAAAATAAATTTTTTTTAAATTGACAGTTCTTAAGAGGTTTGAAATCTAAAATATAATATGTAGTTTCCCCTTAGGATTTTTCCTATTTTTATAAATAACAATTAAAGATAACAAAAGTTAAATGAAACCCCCTGTATATATTTATATTACTGGTATTTATACTTTTATTTTTTATATTTTAATGATAAATTTATACTGAATTCTATAGTACAGGATTAAGGGCTGCGCTTCTAAGGGTTAACGAATTTTCATTCTACCATAAAGGTTGCATTATAGTAGACACCCTTATGGGCTTAGTAAAATAATTTTCTACGCTTCCTGCTGGGTTCAACAACGGAATTGCAAGGGGTCCACACGATTAGAAATTTTATGTTGCACTTTAATTAATTGTATTCTCAAAAAGTACGGAACTCTTTACTGCACATATTTCATATTTCAACATGCAAATTCACTTTTTTTTGACAACATATCTTCATGGCATGGTGTTTTTGTTTTTATAATACATGGTATGTTTTTCGATTTTCTCTTTTTGTTTTAAATGTATAGACGTGATTTAATAACTTTTTCTCGTGTTGTTTATTAATTTATAATAATTACACGACTGAAGGATTTTATACAGCGTGTTAGATTTTCTTCTTTTTTTTTTTCTTTCTGTGAATATAACTTTCCTTTTTTCGTTTTCACTTTTAGATATTAAAGACCTCTCGTAATTACACTTAAATGTTTATCGCATGCTTTTATCTTTTCGTTTGGCAATTTTTTTAGACTTTGCTAAGCTTGCAGCTGCAGAAGAGAACAATGATCCAGATCTACCAGGTATGTGAACGCAATCTTTTTTATTTTCTGCTAAATTATTGAAGTATTACTTTGATAAGCGACCAAGGATTACAATTTAACATGGAGAAAAAAGAGGGGTGGTATTGGTTAATTGAATTTTATTTATAATTATGAACTTACTCTTTGGTGTTATTTTAATTCTATTACAAACCTATTGTAGATCTATCATAATATTTAATTGGTATTCAATTTATGAAAAAGAAAAATTAAGGTATTGTAGTTTCGTGTGGTTGCTGGGTAAAATGATTGCTATATAAATGGTTTGGTAATATGAGTAAAACTGGTTAATTTTTTCATTCTCTGGTAGATAATACTACTTCACAAGAGTTTAATAAAAACACTAAATTTTCGGATTGAACTAAAAGATTTAATCACATGTGTGCATATTTCATAAATTACAGTAATTTCTACAAAAATAAAAGCAGCCGTAAATTAACTTTCGAATTGCTACATTTGTCTTTTTAACAAATACAGATTTTAAATTATCAGTAGGTATACATTGACGAAACTAATGACGAAATAATTGAAGAGTGAAAAATATTTTGAATAGTATAATTACTAATGAAACAAACAAAAAAATTAAAAAGCACTGTTAACAATGAAAATTTTATTCAATTTATTATATACAGTGTCCTGCGTAACTGGAAACACTCAATTATTTCCTAAACTATTAAAGATACAAGAAATTGCTTTGGTGGTCATTGCATGGTAAGAGGGGGCAACATTTTAACGTAGACGAATTTTTTTTTGTATTGTTATTTTCAAAAATATAATGACAAAGTTTGGTTTTTTAAATGGAACTATATATTTTTCTTTCGATCATTTGATAGTGTTTTTGAAGTCGAATTCATTAAGCTTGCATGTATACACTTGATTTTCATTTGTTTTCGAGATATTGCGCTAACAAATTTGGAGATTTTTCGCGGGAAAAATTCACTTCAGTGGGAAATATCAGCAGGGATCCTATTAAGCCGGGTATCCACCGGTATCAAACGCCCGTATCATATCACCGTTCCGAACCCTTTTGAATAGGCAGGCGTTGCCTCGTTGCATGCAACGGCGTGCTGTGGCTCGGACAACATTTCTTCGTTTCTTGATAGAAACGATTAGGCAATAGGACTGGGCCACTACAGGCGAGGAGTTTCGTTTTGCTGCGTGCCGTTTCAAAGAAACGGAGGCAACGGACCCATCCGAAAAATTTGTCAGTTCTTTGCCGTTCCATCGAAGGAAAGGTTCATGCGTTTGCACTTGACATAGCGTTTCGTGCCGTCACTTGGGTTTCAATTTATTTGAAATCTTGCAGTATTATTGGATTCATTTCAAAATCGATGAAATTATTTATGAACTTAATCTAATTTAATTTAGATAAATTTTATCGTCTAAATATATTTAAACAGATCAATTATCTTCGGTAATACGCTATACATAAAAGAGCAATGTTAATAATCACCTGTATGATTATTGAAAAAGGACAATGTTAATTTCCCAGAGATTTTTTCGTTGCCGAGTATCGAAAGTTCTATTGGGCTGTGATACGGAGGTGAAGGAACGGGCCGATCCGAAAATTGTCGGTTTCTTGCTATTCAAAGCATAGGTTCGGAGACCACTTGAAACGTAAAAACAACATACCCAGGCGAAGGCCCGAAATGCTATGTCAAGTGGAAACATGACACTTGAGGCACGAGATAATATGATTTGGAATCGGATATATCAGTGAGATAATACTAATGCAACGACTGAACTTTGTTATTTTTCGTTTTTTTTTTATAAAACTGTTACCAAGATATTTGTGACGTTTTTCTGATTAAAATGATACCAAACACGATATGGTTTGGACAATTACAATAAAGAAACAGCATGCAGCAAATCGAAACTTCGCGCCTATAGGAGTTTCTTTCAAGAAACGAAGAACTATTGTCCGAGCTGTAGCACGCCGTGGCATGCAACGAGGCAACGCCTGCCTATTCAAAAGGGTTCGGAACGGTGATGCGATACGGGCATTTGATACCGGTGGATACCCGGCTTAACGTGGTCTGTTACGAATTTGAAAAGTTTAATTCTCAGCTAGCGTGCGCGCAACACGATCTAGGAAGGCAACAGCGCCTAAAGTATTTTTACAAACGCATTCAAACGCTCATCTCGCCAGAGGCATCGCGACAATACAGCTAAAGAACAAAAGCGAAACATTGGCGCGTATTTAGAGTGAGATGTATGGTGATCATGCTATCCTTCTTTGAACCTAAATGATAGAATTGTCACAGTACAGGCACAGTATAGGAAAGAACAGTAGGCTCACTCCGTGTCGGCACCTTTGATCTCATGACCAATAGATCGCCATATTGCTGGTTGTGCGCGGGCTCTAATTTGAAAAGCACTCGGTACAATCAAAAAGAGATTTCGTAATAGAATACCATAAAAAGACTATTAAATATCTACATTTAATTAAAATACACATTTTATTGAAATCTCTGTACAATACAATTATTATATACAACAATTATTCAATTAATAAAGTCCTAATAAATTATATACAAATGTATAATGTATACAGCATATCTTAGAAATTAATAAACAACCCACAAAGTGGTAATATTTTGATAAAACAATGATGATAATAATAATAATAATAATGTCTATATCTAAAATGTACAAAGAATGTTGGAAAAATATCATTTGACAGATATAAAATATAGGGTGTCCCAGAACGCCTGTTACTGCTGTCACTGCTTGCACTTTGGCACCCTTTGAAGGAACAACGGTATCCACCTCTTTCACTCATATTTTATATCTCTGTATAAAATTTACTGAATTTTATCGCAACAGGAATGTTTTAGAAGTAACAGAGGTTACAATGCAAGAAACTATTATCATATATATTCACAGCCGCCATATTGTTGGTTGTGCGATTCGGTCATGCGCGAGCGACAATTATTGGTACGCTTTTTGGCAGAGTGATCCTACTGTTCTTTCCTATACTGTGGAATTGTCAAGCTCCGGTAAATTCTGACTGACTGAACGCGTGGATTTTATATAGCGCACCGTAGCACACCTCGCTGCTGAAAAATATATGCCTACTCTGAGGAACCAAAGGAACGTGCAATCTGAGAATTATTTTTAGAAAAAGTTATTAACTTCTTTAAATAAATGTTTTTTAATTAATAAAAGTATACAGGATACGTCATGCAATTGGGACGAGTTATATCTTGAATTTGGTAAGAGATAGGAAAAAGCTCTTTATGTAAAAGTTCAATGGTATGATAATGTTTATTTTTCTATGACTTCATTTCCTTCGTGAATGCAACGATTCACTAAAAAAATGCAGATGCACTTTTTATTTAAATAGAATTGCATTTTTTTTTACTCGTATCAACTCCTTGAAACATTCTGCATAAAAAAGTACTATTAGAACTAATAAATGGAGAGGCCTCGGCTCCTTCTCTCCTTCTCTTCCCTCGCTACTATTCCCTCTCACTATTTCGCTGACGCGCCTATATCTAACAGGATAATGTTTAAAAAACTAATATTTCGTGAGATATCTCACACTTTTCATATGTCTTACCATTCAACTTTTACATCAATAGCTTTTTCCTATCTCTTACCAAAAAGATATAACTCGTCTCAATTGCGTGACGCTTGTATTTCGAGAAACCTATAGTAACTTTATTTTTACGAAACTAATAAAAAATACAAAGGAGTCAATATTCTGAGTGAATGCAAATAATTTAAATAAATAAATACATATCTCGTATACAACTTATATAAACGTTTGCAGAATTATTGCAAGGAGGTTGAGACGAGTTATATCTTTTTGGTAAGAGATAGGAAAAAGCTATTGATGTAAAAGTTGAATGGTAAGACATATGAAAAGTGTGAGATATCTCACGAAATATTAGTTTTTTAAACATTATCCTGTTAGATATAGGCGCGTCAGCGAAATAGTGAGAGGGAATAGTAGCGAGGGAAGAGAAGGAGAGAAGGAGCCGAGACCTCTCCATTTATTAGTTCTAATAGTACTTTTTTATGCAGAATGTTTCAAGGAGTTGATACGAGTAAAAAAAAATGCAATTCTATTTAAATAAAAAGTGCATCTGCATTTTTTTTGTTATACCTCCTCTTTGAGCGAGGTTTGTTATGGGGCGCTATGAAAAATCCAGGCGGGCGTCAGTCAAAACTTAGCGAAAAGGGACAATCTCAACATTCAGAATGAGAGAAGGACAGCCTGACTGTAGTGCGTCTCACTCAGCGTTCGGGCGTTGTTGCCTGTTTCGCTTGCTTTCGCTTGCCTTCAGTCGAGTGACGTAACCAAGCTAACGCCTGATTTTGGCTACGATTCCAAATCGGCAGCCTTCTTTGTTAGACACCACCTTATAACTAGTAGCTGAATTGAATTTGTCACATGAATTGCTCTGTATTATCCACAAAATGGCAGAACTGGTCTGTGAGAATGCTTTTACGGGCATCCGTTATTCGTCCTTATTTCGCAACAAATGAAGACAAAATAGATCTTAATTTACAGGTAAGGGTTGTGGCTAGACCGCTCAACTCATGATTTCAATCACAGCAACTTTTAGTGGCCTAAAAATGCTTCGATTCCGCGAATGCATTTTGTCGATTTTTTACCTCTATTTTGGACGCTTATATTACTAAACATCAACATAATCCCACTGAAACATGAGTTGAGCAGTGTGCATTGGACTTTCCTCTTTCGAATAAGCCCTCACCCAGCCCCAAATGTTCTCATACAAGGACGAATAACGGATGCGCGTAAACCCATGTTTAGGCCCATTTTTGCCGGTAATGTCAGCGCGCTACTATTACCCGTGTCTACCTCCGCTTGAAATGGATACTGCGGGACGGCAGGCCCAAACTTTAGGCGGCGCAAAATTAAAAATACCCGAATATACGATGCTGCCAATAACGATTTGATAGGTTGCCGACGCCTGAACTAGGATCTTCCTAGTAGAAGAAAAGTTTTTAATTTTGCGCCGCCTCCGAAAAGGTTGAAATGTATTTAGTATACTATTTAACGAGTAAATAGGTTTTATTAATAGCTGTTGGGTATTTGTATAAATGAAATGGAAATTATTTGATTAGGAAATAGAAATTATTTCATACTTTTTAGTGCATTTCGAAGTCAGTTGTATTCTTTGTTAGAAATTATTTTATTATTCATAGCGAGTTAGGAGAACGACTCGCTCCATATCGATTACATCGATTGTCACTTCGTCGAATTTCTTTCTCGCTGTTTTTTGCTCAGTCTATTGATTCCTCTATCAAGCACATTATATCCACTCTACAGGGTGATCCTCTCGCTAGGGGGCACAAAGGAACTGGCGACAATGAACCCTTGACCGCACCATGAAGACACACAGCGTCGTCTCGACCCGGGTAGGTCCCCGCTGGCACGTGACAATACGGACCTCTTTATGGTGCAATCAAGGGGTCCATTGTCGCCAGTGTTCCTTTGTGTCCTCTAGCGAGAGGATCACCCTGTATATTGTATGAAAGTTTTTAATTAATATCTCTGAAACTAATAGGAAGCCGAAGATACCATTTTATATTTGGGGTCCTCTCCCCCCCTCCCACCTGCCTTTAAAATTTCATCTTGATCGGCGACCGGTCGTATTCGGAACTGCAGCCAAAATTCTTGCTTTCCCTATATCACCATTTTCCTTGGGGAAGCCTACTTTGGTCAGTACTATACAGGGTGTTTCGTTTAAAACAGTCCACCTAAATATCTCCTCTAGCTCTGAAAATACAAAAAATGTTTCTGACGTAATCTAAATGGTATCAAAAGACAAATCAGATGGAAGAACCGTTTTTTATAAATTGTAATTTTTTAATCGTTTTTTTGAGGTCACTCGTGTTTAAATTTTAGAGTCCACGGTCACTTCAAGGTCGTGCTATTAAACATGGATAAATGCACAATAATATTTGCTATAACATACAACAACAAAAAATGTGTGTACATACGTAAAAAACACGAGTGACCTAGAAAAAACGATTAAAAAATTACAATTTATAAAAAACGATCCTTCCATCTGATTCCTCTTTTGAAACCATTTAGATTACGTCAGAAACATTTTTTGTATTTTTAGAGATAGAGGGAACATTTAGGTGGCCTGTTTTAAACGAAACACCCTGTATATATATTATAATTATAATGTACTTATCATCAATTTATCTATACTATACATGGTATGGTTTTCTATAAAAACTTGTTATTAAAATTGTAAGTTGACAATGAATGAATTTTCAATATATATCGATTATTTTCTTCTTATAACTCTGATGTAACTTTTTTATATAAAACTGTAAGAATGAATAATAATTTCACCGCACGTTACGTAATCGACGAGTATGCATCAAACTCTCGCATTTCTTATACTTGCCTATCACTAGTATCATTATTTCAGAAAAATCAATATTTTATTATTAACACCTTAGCGAATCGGTCGTTCTGTGCCATAATACATATAAATTTATTAACATAATACGTATTATGCACATATACGATTATTATAAAATAACAATAACAGCTATAAATTATTGAAACATTATTATTAGTATAATATAATAACAAATAATTTATCAATTTATCAAATCCGTAAAGAAAAAAAAAACTTTTACTATTACCATTTAGAACCTTTTTTTTTTTTCAGAATTTATTGTCACTCTTCGATTAGTTTCTGGTATTTTGAAGTTTCTTCCATGCGTGCAAGCTTACTAACAACAGCACGTGAAAGCTTTTCACAAATTTTCCGAGTTTCCCATCTTCAATATAGATCCATCGATTTTTCAGATCTCCTGGAACCACCTAAAGGCTTCCGTCACATCTACAAGGAACAAGGACCGGAAGCTTTCGCCAAGGCCATTAGGCAACACGACGGGTTGCTTTTGATGGATACCACTTTTCGTGATGCTCATCAATCTCTCTTAGCAACACGTGTAAGGTCACACGACCTTCTGTTGATCTCGCCCTTCGTTGCTCATAAGTTCAACAATCTGTACTCTCTGGAGAACTGGGGTGGTGCCACTTTCGACGTCGCCCTTAGGTTTCTTCACGAATGTCCTTGGGAACGATTGGAGGATATGAGGAAAGCTATTCCAAACATTCCTTTCCAAATGCTTCTCAGAGGTGCCAATGCGGTCGGTTATACCAATTATCCTGATAATGTTGTCTACAAGTTCTGTGAACTGGCTGTGCAGACTGGAATGGACATCTTCAGAGTATTCGATTCGTTGAATTACTTACCAAATTTAATCCTTGGTAATTTTTAATTTTTTAAAAATAATTTCAAAGTATAACCATCTGAGAATTAGCACCTAAAATATTAGATCAAAGTCTTTAAGTTAAAGCACGTTTTGTTACACTATGGGATACTTCTAAGGGCTTCCATTAATTTTTTGAAACTTCCAACCAGGAAAAGTAGGCAAAAATTAATATTGAAAAACTTTACAGGTATGGAAGCAGCTGGTAAAGCTGGTGGCATCGTGGAGGCTGCAATTTCTTATACAGGTGACGTGAGTGACCCAAATAGGAAGAAATACGACTTGAAATATTACACAAACTTAGCTGATGAGTTGGTAAAGGCTGGTACTCATGTCCTGGCGATCAAGGATATGGCAGGTCTTCTGAAGCCAAAAGCAGCTGTCATGTTAATCGATGCTATTAGACAGAAACATCCTGATGTACCATTGCACATTCACACTCATGACACTGCTGGAGCTGGAGTAGCAGCCATGTTAGCTTGTGCTGAAAGTGGAGCTGATGTGGTTGACGTTGCTGTAGACAGTATGTCTGGAATGACTAGTCAACCCTCTATGGGTGCTGTAGTTGCCTCCCTAATGGGTAAGCTACTCTATGCATCAAAGTTAAAGTTCTTGAAACAACCATTAATAATATATTCTGAAATTACAGGAACTCCAAAGGATACCAAATTTAACCTCAATGATGTATCTGAGTATTCTGCATTCTGGGAACAGACCAGAACTCTGTATGCTCCATTTGAATGCACAACCACCATGAAATCTGGAAATGCTGATGTCTACTTGAATGAAATTCCTGGAGGGCAATACACCAATTTACAATTCCAGGCTTACTCGCTGGGTTTGGGAGAAATGTTTGAAGATGTCAAAAAAGCTTACAGAGAGGCTAATCTGTTGTTGGGCGATATAATAAAAGTTACTCCTAGCTCCAAGGTTGTTGGTGATCTTGCTCAATTTATGGTTCAGAATAAGCTGTCGGCTGATGATGTGTTAAATAAAGCTGAAGAATTGTCCTTCCCAAAATCGGTTGTTGAGTTCCTGCAGGGTGCTATTGGTGAACCTCATGGAGGATTCCCTGAGCCATTGAGGTAATTTTACCAATATAAATAAATGACTTGTCTTTGTTGACTATTCTTAGGGCTTAGTTAGGTTTGAAAGAACCCATGCACCCCTTGTAATCCAGATTATGAAAATGAAGTAATTTTATTACAGGTCGAAGGTATTAAAGAACATGCCACGGGTCCAAGGAAGACCTGGTGCAAGTTTGCCTCCATTGGACTTTGATGCCCTAAAATCTCAGTTGCAAGAATCTTATCCTCAGGTCACAGAAAATGATATCATGTCGGCAGCTCTCTATCCTAGTGTTACGAACGACTATTTGAACTTCAGAGAACAATATGGACCTGTAGATAAATTGGAAACTAGGGTTTTCTTGACTGGACCGAAGGTTGCAGAGGAATTCGATGTAACGATTGAGAAGGGTAAAACATTAGCTATTAAGACTCTCGCAGTTGCTGAAGATCTCACCAAGAATGGAGAACGCGAGGTGTTCTTTGAGATGAACGGACAAGTCAGATCTGTGTTTATTAAGGATAAGGAAGCTGTTAAGGTAAATTCTAGATTATGGTTTTTATTGCAATTTATTATAATCTTTTAATTTTCTATGTGTATGATCGTAAGCATATTAACATACTTATATGACCATGTAATCTTATTCTAAAATATTTCATACTATGATTCTTACAGCGGAAATATTAGGATAAGAATTTTTAGAGATATAAGCATATTAATCAAAAATTTAATTTTTCTAATTTTATATTTTATATTATTGAAATAATATTAATGATGTTAAAAATCTTCTATCCTTCTTATCACTAAACACTTGTAACAATTTAAATATAGTTTAATTAATATATTCATGGAAAACTGTTATTAAAGAATTATAATGAATAAATAACAGTTATACATGAGATAGGTGATTTCAAACTTGCTACTGGTAGTGTATTTAATGTTAACGTCAAGTTACTTTTATATAAATAATTTTGTACTATTTTTACTATTTTGATTTCTTTAAACTCTATAAGTAATACTAAACTTTTATGCACAATCACACATTAAAAAATTATAATGAAATGTTTTCTGTTTAATCAGGAGCTTCATGTTCACCCCAAAGTTGTCAAAGGAGATAAAAATCAAATTGGAGCACCCATGCCTGGTACTGTGATTGACATCAGAGTGAAAGTAGGAGATACAGTAGATAAAGGAGTACCATTGGTTGTTTTATCCGCCATGAAAATGGAGATGGTGGTCCAAGCACCAAGAGCAGGGAAAGTAAAGTCACTGGAAGTCTCTCAAGGAATAAGATTAGAAGGAGATGATCTAATCTTGACCTTGGAATAGAATTTTTAGTCACTTGCATCTGTAAAATCACATCGTTGTATACATTCTTCAAACAAGAATGCATTTTGTTTAATGAATACTTAAATATCTATTTTCTATCTGTAACTAATATTAATCATAACAATTTACCAATACGTAAAAAGTGAAGATATTAATGTATCATTCAATAATGTAATTTTTTCAATATTATTCTAAAATTTTGAAAGACTGTTAACCCTTTCATTATTAATGTAATTATGAAAAACACAAAATTGCAAATTTATAATATTTAAATATTTTATTTTAAATGAGTTTTTGAAATAGACTAACATATTTGATTATTGTTATTTTCTTATAATTATTACTTATAAGAATACAAAAATGTATTTTTTAAATTCTAAATTCAGTAAATTATACAATGAAGGTTTAATAATTTTCTAATCTTAATAATATGAAAAAGAAGCTGAAAGTAATTTTGCAATAAGTGATCACAAATTTCTCAAACTACCTCGTATATAGAATTAATTAATTAAACAAAATGCATCTCTTGTTCAATAACAAAGAGGATTATGCATAAACGTTCATTCAAGTACATTTGTCAAGAAGAAAGAGCGACAAACATCAAAACGTTTTTTATCCTACTCGATTTTAATCAGTCAAGTCAAGCCCATTGTATCGTGATGATCATTTATTAGTATTTAATTTAAAATTATCAAACCGAGCTAATATTCTTCACTTGCCAGAAATCTTACGTATGGTTGTTTGTCGATTTTTTAAATTTTGCAACGAGAATTGATCTATGCTGCCTAAAATATCAATTCCTTTATACTTCGTGTTCATACTTGATGTTAGGTACAGGCCTACAATTGTAATTAGGTGAATGAATGTTACAGTTAATGTTACCGAATTTTAAAGTTTCATAAGGATACTGTTTGTAAAATTAGTATCATATTGAAGTTGCACAAAATGCTGTTCTCTTTGTTTATTTTTTGAAATGTTTAGTGCCAGTACATCAGTGTTTCTCAAACTGTACTATACTATTTACTGTACAATTCAATAGTACAAAGAAGATTGCAAAGTGTCCAGAAACAAGAATTAGTTTGCAAACTAATATATTTGAGTTGCACCAAGGTAATGGACATGTTGAGAGCCACAACAGAAATAATTAAGCTGTTAAATTAATCCAGATTATTAAGAATACAAAGGAGTAATTTTTTATCTCAATGCTGCAAGTTTTAATTTCAAATTATTACTAGTGGTCTAAATTTTCTGCCTTTCTGTCCTTGGTTTTTAATTTTCCACTAAATTAAATTAAAAACATCAGTCATTAATAGTTATTATGACAACCTATTAATAACTGATCTTTGTAAATTAGTTTAACAAACATTTTATGTAATTTTAAATTGTAAAACAAAATGAAATAACAAATTGAAGCTCTCAAGAAAAGCTATTAGTTTATTAAATACAATTGTGTGAATATTTATTGTACAATAGTTTTGTATAAAAGAAACTGCAACAAGTTTGTGTACAAAGAAATTGTAAATTTCAATTCCAATCAGATTGTGTAACCCTGTGTTCAAAATATAGAAAAATCGATGCTGTTTGACCGTAAATCCTGTGATTTGATGTATATTTTGCGTGTGAATGAAGAAATTAATTTAATTTTAATTCAAATTAATTTTGAATTAGTTTAGAATCTTGAGAAAAATAAGTTGCATAATAGTTGTCAAAGGAATCGGTGTAATTTCTGAATTCCTTGCTACAATAATTTTAATTAGTGCGTTTTAAAACAAATTTTCAACATAATTTGTACATTAATTTTATAAATATAGTGTTGTGTATTTGTATTAAAGGCGAGCATTACTTTTTAACATGTTTTAGTTTTAATTTCTGAATTATTGTATGTAGTAAGAAAAATCATTGAAAACAACATTGTATATATTAATTTATAAGTTGTCAAATGCAAATTATTATATGATTCTTTTGAATGAAATAAACAATTAGACCAAATTTATAACAACACCACAAACAGTTATAATAAAAATGTGATAATGGTTCTTTGTTTCCTCTAAGGCTTAGAGTCTAAGCGTCAAAATTGACAGTGTCAATTTCAGTGAAGTTGAATTTCAACAATAACAAGTGCAAAGGTAAAAGTGATAATCGTTCCTCCTTTGATCGCGTTTCAAAGGATTGTACAATTGTGTTTGATAAAATTAGGTCCTTATGCGTCTTGACATTGCGACTATTGCAATCTCCTCGCTAGTATGCGTCTATGAAATGTTCACAGTGTATTTATGTAGTATGAAATCTAAATGAATGCGGTTGCATTTATACAGAGTAAAGGCAGCAAATGCAGAATAGTTTTTTACAGTTATGAGAATGAGTTGCTTCTTTACATTCCTTTTCTTTTACCTTGTTTGACCCCTTACTAGATATAGTAATGATTTAGTTATTAAATGGTTGCGGAATTGAAAATTCTAAAAAAATCTATTTTTCTATGAGTAATTGATAAAAGAAATCATTAAGTTCTCATCTAAACATCATAGTAATAATTTATTTCAGTAGATATAATAATAATTAGTTAATAAATAATTGCAGAATTAAAAATTTAAAAAAAAAATTTGTTTAAGACAATATTGCTTTTTTTATTAACATTAATAAGAAACAAAATTAAAATCTTCCGTGGAAATTATATAAATAATTCATTTCATTTTTAAAATAATTTTTGCAAATAGTAATTGCTCGATACCGAGGAACACGTTTTAAGAGAATTTCGAAAGTCAGGTTTTATGACAATTTCGCGACGGTAAAGCTATTTTTTTTGAGTTAGCATTTTCATATTGCCGGCACTAGTACTTTTGCCTTCTTGTACAATGGGATTTAGGATTTAATTTCTGCTGTGTAGGAGAGGGGAAAAAGAAGGGCGTTTCGTCTCGGGATCGTCTCTGTTTTTTTTTTTTAAATCGTTTTATTGTTTTTGTTAACAGTGGTACATATATCAGTCCTAAGGCTACGAGAATACAAAAACTAAACGAAAAAAAAATTCAGTGCAATCTTTGGGGTATCACAGCCAGCTTGCCCGTTACAGGACGGGACTCGGAGGCTAACTCTAAATATTAACAATCACATGGTCAACTTATAAACTAACGTATTGCCAGAGTATATAACGATATACTCAAAAATAAGTGCGAGGTAACGCTTAACGCAAAAGGGAAAAAAAGGTACAAAAGGAGAAAAACCCCACGGATCAGTCTTAGGCAAACTTAACCTAACTTAAAAGAAGTAGAGGCGGGAGGAATATGTACAGGGGATGCTTATAGACTAAGATAAGGAAAAATGAGAGAAGAGAGACAGGGGGGAGTAATATACAAGGGGCACAGCACCCATCTGGCTTAACTAGATCTTCGCGTGCGGTTCATACGCGAAATAAGGGCGGGTAAATGGGCACTATTTAAAGATAGCTACCAAAATTTTTTAAAATTAGATCTGGAAAAATCCATCTTATCTCGGCGCGGGACGGCCGCGGAGTATTTGAAGTTGGCACAACCTGGTCTAGTATCAGACACGTCGAGCGCGATCCGCTTGTCGGCTCTATTACGCCGCCAGTGGTAGAGGATTGGCACGTTATCCGCGTCTTGGATAAGGCCATTATTGTCGCAGTAGATAAAGACCTGCGGTGTGACGTAGCCCGTGGATAATTGTCGGAGTGCGTAGGAAGGCTCGATTTCAGCAAGCTGCTGGACCATAGGTTTCTGAATCTCAGGAAGTTTACAGAAGTAGTTCCTAGTAAGTTTTAAAATAAAATTATCGATTCTAGGGATATCTGCCTTATTATATATATACGAGTTGCTTATGAATCGCTGGAAATTAGAGCGCTGTGACCGATAGAGTCTTAAGCAGGCTCTTAGACACCTTCGTTCGAATGCACGAACCTTTTCCATGATCGTGTGATTGCAGTTCCACCAGATGGGAGCTGCGTAAGAGATGATTGGGCGTACCAACAATTGGTATAGGATGATTTTAGTTTTGCTGGATAGGTGCGCATTATGGAATATCCTTACATTTGCTCGGAAAGCAGCACGAGCTTTAGTTAGTTGAAGCTCAACGTGAGTGTTGCCCCGTAGGAGGTAATCTAGATGATAGCCTAGATACTTAACTGAGCTTCTGTGAGGAATGGAAATAAGCGTGTCGGAGCCCGGAATAGAGGTTTTGATACCGAAACAATTAAGCCCACTTTTATTGTTGGATGAGAGGCGATCAACAGGCTTCCTAAACAAGATAGTCTTACATTTACTTGGGTTCAAACGCAAGTTCCAGGTAGCGAAGTACGAGTTAATTTTATTGACCGTAAGTTTGAGGGTAGTCTGGACAGCGGAAGTCTTATTGCATGCAAAATAGACGATCGCATTATCCTCAAAAAGAAGATACGGGAAACCGGGCTGATTAAGATCGAAAAGCTTGGGAAGGTCGCTAATAAGGATGGAGAAGAGTATGGGGGAATTGACAGTTCCTTGCTGCAGTCCTTCGTGTATGTAGTAGGCTCCAGTTGATAGCAAAACACCGTCTGTAGTACGGAAAGATTTGTTTCTAATCATGTCCCAGATAATATGGACGAGCCATCGGGGAAAGCCCTTCTTAATAAGCTTGAAGATCAAGCCATCGATCCATACAGAATCGAACGCCTTTTCTAGATCGAGGAGAGCGGCCCCTACGAAGCTGCTATTACCAACCTTAGTGTTAATGTCCGAGACTAATTTATGTATAGCATGCGTCGCGGAGTGCTGGTGTGTAAAACCGAATTGACAATCCGGTATGATATTGAGCGCTTTGCAGTAGGAGGCTATTAATGAATTGATATGTGCTTCGTAAACTTTGCTAATAGCCGGCGTGAGGCTGATAGGGCGATAACTAGCAGGGTCGTTAGGGTCCTTGCCTTTTTTGAGGATAGGGACAACCTTAGCACACTTCCAGGCGGAGGGAAAGTAATTGTGGTTGAGACAGTTATTGAAAATGGTAGTAAGGGCCAGAATGATATTACCAGGTAGGTGTTTAAGAATAATAGGCGGAATATTGTCCAACCCATGTGACGTTTTGTTTGGAAGCTTTTTCAGAATATCACCAAGGGAGAACGGGTTACAGAAAGGGTGCGGCCCCTCATCGTCCAAGAGGGGAGAGGCGGCCCTACTATTATCAGAGAAGGAGGTGTAGGTAGCTTCCCGCGACTTATAAGCAGCAGCTTCGGATTTGAAAGCACCAGCTGTTGGATTATGGGAGATTAAATTACACAGTTTTACTTTAGAAAAACTAACTTTATTAAACGGAACGGAAAAACACGTCTAACGCTTCTTAGATTTTGACTGCAAGTGACTCGACTCCCATAAGAAAGCTGGGGTCCGCTTTTCTAAACAAAAGCGTTTATGGCCCTGCCTGGCGATGCAGTCCCTTGACTTGGGTGACGAAATCCAGACACATCTGGTCGTCCTTCTATCGCCTTTGTTTAAATTGAACGTTAGGCATTTTTGCTTACAATATAGAAATATTATTCTAGAGTACCCTAAACAATATTTCAACACCAGCAACCGAATCTACGATTTCTTTGAGAGGGGTGTTGAGATTAAGATACCTAAGTGAATTGATAGCCTCAAAGTGAGCCCCGAGTATATTTAATTTGTCCTGGGATGATGAGAAAACATATCTATTGTCAATAGCCGGGACACTATCTGTGCAACAACTGCTTCGCTCAATAAGTCGCGAGTTATCCTTGTCCACGTGTAGGTCACTAACTGTCAGCGGCTGCTTAGGTCGAAATAATGCATTAATCTTTGGGAAGAATGAATCTGAGCTCCTGTGGTCAATAGTCTTAATAATTTTGCTCCAGTACCTTTCTGAGTTTTTCTGAAGCTCAAGATGAATCTCCCTCTTAGTTGAGGCTAGCAGGGATTTAAGGAACCTAGTTAGTGTCTCGCGTGAGGTAGGGTCCGAGATATGTAGTTTATGGAGAGATGAAACAATTTTCCTCTTCTTACGCTGCAATTTAGAAACTTTACTATTTATATATTTAATTAAATTAGGGGCACGGCTGGTTGGGAAACAAGGTACCGTCTCCTGAATAGTGTTTATAATACAGTCATTGATGACAAGCAGCTCACTGTCAATTTCGGAAATTGACAGGTTACGATTGTCCGGGATTGAAGCGAAATAGTTAACGCCCAACCTCTCAGTGAAGGCCTCCCAATTGGTGGCTTTGTAATTGAATCGCTGGGGCAGTGGATTAGTACATCCGAGGAGGAAAGAGTCATTCCCAATCTCGAAGGAAAGAGAGATTGCAGAGTGGTCGCTGTCATATGGGAGCGTAATCGCTTTATTGGTGAGTCCGTGGCGATTCGTGTGAGCTAGCCGGGAGTCAGCTAGGCAAATATCCAGGAAAGTGTGTGCTGGTTTAAAAGTGGGGGAGTGTGGGGTAATCACATTAATCTTAAATTCCTGCTCATATGTTTCAGTCCACCGATTAAAATAACGACCCCGCTGGTTATTCGCACGATCGCCCCATTGTTTACATCTAACGTTGAAGTCACCGGCCATAATAAAATAATTCTCATCTTTATGAAGCTCGAGAGCACGGAAAAGGGCAGAGAGTTCTTCAACAAATAATGCCCTGTTATCATTGCGGGCATAGATACTAATTAGAAATAAGTTCTTATTGTGAAGGGAGGGGAGCTTTAAAATAGTACCCTCAATAATTTGAAATTCCCGCATTATCGGGAGATTAATGGTATCGAACTGGAGGTTCTTCCTGGCCAGAATAGCAGTTCCTCCGCCATGACTAAGAGCATGTCTGTCGTTCCTAATAAAAATATAATTAGGGAAGGAAACTTTGTGGTTAGCATTTAGTTTGGTTTCCGATATAAAGATGGCGTCGTGACCATACCTTCGCGCAAAGTCTAACAGCTCAAGCCTTCTATAGTTAGCACATAACGAATTAACGTTAATCGCCGCTATCTTAATGTTACTAACAGGAACGGGGATATTAGCCATTATGCGGGCTGAACAAAGAACTAAGAATAAATTCGATTTTCTCAGAGTTGGCCGAGATCTGCACTGACAACGATTTAAGCTGCTGTGAAACTAGTAGAGAAATATCCGCTTTGAGTTCGTTCAACCAACTAGGGGTTTCAGAGGGTTGTGGAGGGGGAGATGGTCGCGACGGCGCTTGAGTTCCAGCAGGCTTGCCGGGTAGGGGGTAGCTGGTCCGCTGCAACTCCACAGTAGGTGGCGCTGGGGGGTCTTCTCCTCGCTTAAGGCCCAACGCTTGGGCGAAGCTCATGCCCCTCTTCACTAGGCTCTGCTGCGCGCTAAAATCACGCAGCTTCTGGTTGGCCTGGTTAGCCTTTTGCGACTTCCTTCTTTGCATCGCAAATTTAATAAATGGGCAACCTCTGTAAGAAGCCGGATGCCCCTCCTGCCCACAGTTTGCGCACTTGAGCGCCGATTTCTCGGAAGCCTCCGAAATAAGGCAGTTGCCCGGAGTGTGCGTCTGTGCACACTTAACACAACGGAACGGCAGATTGCAGTTCTTGCTAGCGTGGCCCAGGCGCTGGCACTTCTTGCATTGGTATATTGCGGGCTTCTTAAGGTGCTCCCATTTCACCTTCTGGAAGGCAAGGGACTTTATCTTGAATAGCTCAGTCGTTTGGCTACCACTAGATACCTGTAGTATGTGATAGAATCTATCTGGGTCCCTCTTATTGAAATGGAACTTACTGAGGCTAATAATCTCCACATTAGCCAGTTGTAGTTCTAGTATCTCAGCCTTAATGTCGTCACAGGGAAAAGAGCCTCTGATCCCTTTAATGATCAGCGATTTTGGTTTTTGGCCTTTAGGAGTATATGTGTAAAAATGAACTTTGGCTTCTGCGAGCTTGTTCTTGGATAACTCAAAATGTTCTAGCCGATTAAAGTAAATTGTGTGGCTGTCCGCCACTACTTCTTTGATTGTGAAATCTCCTTTAGTTAGATTCATATTCTTCGCCAATTGGATGAGCGCCTGCAATGACGTGTTGACCGAGTATATTGGTGGGGGTCTATGAATTTTTGCTGCTTTTGGTTGCCCAGCTCCGCTGGCCGCGTCGTCAATGTCGTTGGTATCCATCTCGGCACTATCAGCTGAGAGTGCACTGAATCTATTGCAGCCCCCGCTTGAACCGCCCTGTGGCGGCGCTACGGGTTCGTTGGCCGTAATTTTGGCTGTCTTCTTCGGGACTTGCCAGCCGCTAGTACCTGGCTTCTGCGCATGCGCACTGTCCAAGATGGCGACTACCAACGGCTTAGCCACTTGGGACATACCGGTACCCGTCAGATCACCGAAGTCAAGCTAAGTGGGCACGGGCACCCAGAAAGATGGGTTACCGCGCGCTGTTGGTAAAAGAGGTGGACGTTAAGCGCCTGGTTGGTGAATTATTACCAGTCAGGTAAGCTTGATAAAGTAGACGCGTCCTATAGCAAAATTCCTTACGCCGACAAAGAGTCAAGTGTTGGATCTTCCGTACCCGATAACGATGATTTGAAAAAATATGAGTTTGACAGTTATTCCAATCGCTGTGACCTGGGTGGTGGTGGTTGCTGGGGAGTGGATGGTTAAGTTGCATATACCCGATCGGGTGAGGTGGCATATCCGCGCTTGTCCTCGGACGGCCGGATTCACAATAAACTGTCCAAGATGGCGACTACCAACGGCTTAGCCACTTGGGACATACCGGTACCCGTCAGATCACCGAAGTCAAGCTAAGTGGGCACGGGTACCCAGAAAGATGGGTTACCGCGCGCTGTTGGTAAAAGAAGTGGACGTTAAGCGCCTGGTTGGTGAATTATTACCAGTCAGGTAAGCTTGATAAAGTAGACGCGTCCTATAGCAAAATTCCTTACGCCGACAAAGAGTCAAGTGTTGGATCTTCCGTACCCGATAACGATGATTTGAAAAAATATGAGTTTGACAGTTCTTCCAATCGCTGTGACCTGGGTGGTGGTGGTTGCTGGGGAGTGGATGGTTAAGTTGCATATACCCGATCGGGTGAGGTGGCATATCCGCACTTGTCTTCGGACGGCCGGATTCACAATAAACTGTCCAAGATGGCGGTTGCATATACCCGCTCGGGTGAGGTGGCATATCCGTGTCCGTCCTCGGATGGCCGGATTTACACTAAACTGTCCAAGATGGCGGGGCCAGAGGGTAGCGTGGTGGACGCGCGCAACCTAGCCGAATTCAGGTTGGGCGCCATATTGCACTGTTTCGGTTTACTCTCACTCATGATTTGTTTATACAATTTATCGAGTTGTAGGGAGTGTAACCTAGGCGTTTTAGCTTCCCTAAGTCGAATGGAATTCTCCAGCGACGAAGCATGTCTGTCCGTGTCACTAGGCGAAGCCCCACGCTTCGCCTTGTGCGTGGTTGGGGACGCCATTGCAGAATGGGCCTTACGGGCCCAGCCCGCCACAGCGCTATAGGAACCACTATCACGGACGGGTGTAATAGACACGTAACACACAGCAAAAATACATGAGGGCTATGGAACAATTAAGCCACCGAACACAAGAACACAGCAACGAGGACAAAAAATAAAACACTTGACCACAGGTGATATCGCTACACAAAGACTAATAAACTGAGGAACTACCCTTGAGTAGCGGTCACGCACGTCCGTTCACCTTCACGGTCGCCGTGAGACCGGGATCGTCTCTATCAGACTCAACAGTGGGGCTGACAACAGACACCCATTCATACCGCAATTCGGAAACTCCTATATATTGGAACTGCATGCCGAGCGACCGCCAGCGAGAAAACTAATCCCCATTTATCTCCGCCGCCACCTAGCGGTCCCCGAGCCGAGTCAAAGGCGTCCGGGAAGTCAACATCCTCCCCACCCCACGCCAAATGCCTACAGCTGCGTTCTCAATAGCTAAAATCATGTCATAAACTGTCTTCCCGAAGGATAAGTCGACAGCGGTCGACTAGCAGTACTTGGCATTCGAGGGTCAACCTGGGTGGAAAAACCCCGCCGTAGCTGGACTTTCGAGGTTCTCGCATACATCAGGTATCGTACCACCCTCTCCTGGACAAAATCGCGCTAAAGGCGCACGCAAGGGCGGACACGAATATTAGGGAACACGCTGATTGGCAAATTAACGTTTCGTGTGAAAACCAAATAGCGTGTTTCCTCCCAGACAGAAAAATCGGGAAGTCTCCTATTTTCATTTATCGATCGACATCGAGTCAGAAAACATATCAACATACCGTAATAGTATTACAAAGACAGCGACATCAAATCAGTTCTTTCGAATTAAGTTTTTAAAGAACCACGCCGCGACGACCGCGAAACTATTATAGTTAACTCGAATCTTACAAATTCGAAGAGGAATTAAAAATCCGCGCGATCACTCCAGGCTCGTGTGACGTGCAGCATTCGGTACGGCACAGTAATAGTATTAGAAATTATATTTTATGTTCTCAAACTGTTCCGACTATTCAGAATATCAACAAAATGAAGAGGGAAATGAGATGGAATTGGCATCACCGGTGATAAATAAATTAGACAGGTGAATTAAGATCGGAAAAGCAAAACAGATTTATTTATTTGGAAACTATGAAACTCTACCTTACAGGGTACCGGCTGTAAAAAACTCCAGTCAGAAGTGGGGAAAAAGTCTGGTCCTTAATCAAATAAAATTATATCAATCAACACTTAAAATAAATAACGTAAAAATATATAAATATAGTACTTACGAAAACTAAAGATTAGAAACGAAACGCAATTGAATGATCATTCAAAACTTAAGACTAACGCACGCAAGAGTGCTCTCTTATCATCAACCGTAACCGGATGGCGCCTCGTTAACGTCGAAGCGGATCGTCGTGGTCCTCTTAATCAATCCTTCTGATCACAGGAAACTTCCCCGATAACCGGGAACAAGGTGACCGTACCTACGCGTCACCAACTGCACGGCTAGCCAGGTGGGCAGGTTCAGCCGTTACTGTGCCGTTCCACAACTGCACACAGCTAGCCGTCTGAAAACCTCCCAAGAGATCGCCGGGCCGTGCAGACACAAAATACAGCACCTAGTGCTTCACATACTTCAGAACATACGCCTGATTGCAACAACGCCCGTCAGCAGATCACCACCCGTTCAAGTATCAATAAAACAGACCAAACGTTGACCAAGCCAGTCGCACAATGCACCGATCCCGGTCTTAATGCGTGGGCTAGTGATGGGCGATACAGTATCGATATTTTTCAGTTCAAGTGGCACTTCCTGGACGTCCGTACAATACTTCGCGGGGGAGTGCGCGAGGAGGACTGTTGGAGGAAGGGAAATCTCAAGGGTCGGGAAGGCTCACAGGAAGGTTCACTACGTTAAGGCTGGTTCAGACACGGCTAGTACTAAATCGTTACTTTTTCTGGCTTTATAGCATCACACGCGCGTTCCATTTACCGGTAATCACATTGCTCGACTACCACATTACCACATTTCACACCCATACATTCATGCAACAGCAATATGTAAACGTTACACTTACATCGGGTACCGTTCCGAGTCCACGAGCCGCACGCAACACCATGTTAAAAAATATTGCGATTTAGATGACTTGTAAAACTTGAATTGCGTTATGCTTCAATTGAGCTAGCGCCGTATCAAGAGAAGGTTCGAGGGGGGGGCTACAGTCCCGGCCCCAGGTTCCAGGGGGCCGTGTTGTAAGGCTTTCATTTACTATGTCAAATGGTATTAAATGGAAATTTTTTACAGTTGCCCCTTTTCTATAGAATTAAATGTTATTTTATATGATTTAGAATAAATTTCAATGTTTGAACCAAGTTTATCGACCAAGGAAATCCATAAAGGTTTCATAGCCTGAGGCCCCAGAAATCTTAATTCGCTCTTGTTTACTCTTCTGCTTCATTGATTATTTTAATTGAAATGCTACTTTTATAGAATGCGCAAAAACTTTCATGAGTGACTGTATGTTTCTTGATAACTTTCAGTTGCTATCACCTCGAGGATGTGATTACTGATAATACTTTATAAAATCATTAATTACTATTCTCATGTATCGTTTAACACGAACCGCAGTGAATCAAGAATGAATAAAGCTGCAATAACGACCATTAATTGTAAGTATTAAAACTGGGAATTATGATTCAGCAAGTTTTATCGTTATTGTCATTGGTATATTTCCTCCAGAGTTGGAAATATTTAGTTAGTAATCATTCGGTAGTGATCAGACATCGCTTCTTGGAGGCGAAGTACATTTAAACACCATTACGAAGATTGACGTATCCAGTCTTTCGGACAGCGATTAATTTATTTTTCTACTTTTCTGTGTAAGTACAACATTATTTTACTATATTGACGTCTTCTGTAGTCCTTTTTCCTCTTATTTAAAAATGTTAATTAAGCAAAATACAGTAGATTCTCGTTATATTGCTACGTAAGCAATTTGGCATTCACATCGATTTTAAAGCATTCTAATATCACCCTTCCATTATCATAGTCTATGAAAATGATATATTTCAATTTCCTCTCTCCCCTTTAAATAAGAGTTTGGAAACTTGATTTTTGCGCTATGTACTACAGTCACGTCGGCGGTGATATAACGAGAATCTACTGTATACAAAAATAAAGTATTATAATTAACTCTTTAATTGTGGCGTGTTCTAAAAATGAATCGTCAGCATTTTATGACATTTAAAACATATTAGGTATAATTACATGTTACATTTTTTCAAACTATAACTTATTTCTAAGAAATATAAAATATTAAAGAAATAAATATAAAATTAAAGTTAAATTAAAAATTAAAAGAAAATCTTTAAAAACATAGTATATGTATGTGGAAATATAATTTTCATTATGGATCATATGGACAACAGAGTGATGATTAGAATTTTGCATTGTTAAAAATAAGAAAAAGTGAAAACAGCTTTTGATATTCAAATTATTTAATTGATTGCTGCACAATACGTACAATATATGTACATATGTAACAATTTGCTTATATCAATTTAATAAAATAACAAATTCGTTTGAGAAAAAATGCAAAAAAATGGTACAGACAAAAATTGGGTTGGATTGCAGTTTCCCGGGTAATTGATCTCGACTATTTTATCGGATAAATCAAGGTCGGAGAAGACGATAGGAAGTGTCTCGAGGTCGATATCACGTGGCGTTACAAAGTTATGGCCATTTTAAAAAATCATATTATTTCAAAAATTTTCCGATAATTTTGAATCCAAAAAATAACCTAACCTAACCTAATCCAACCCAACTTATCAGCTAGAATAGCTAGCCTTTCTCCTCAGCTAAAAAAGTGATTTTTTAAAATGGCCATAACTTTGTATCGCCACGTGATATCGACCTCGGGACACTTCTTATCGTCTTCTCCGACCTTGATTTATCCGATAAAATAGTCGAGATCAATTACCCGGGAAACTGCAATCTAACCAAAAATTGTAACATATCAAGGAGCACATATTGATATTCACATGACCTTAAAATGACCCTGAAATGCCCTGTGAACATGAGGTTTAAAGGGTAACCCCAAATTTCGCCCATTTTTTCCCACTCGAATTTCAAATCAAACTATGTGCTAATCAATTCTATATGATGGTACCTCAGAAAAAATTTAAGTTGAGCATAGGGGTAGTTTTCAAGATACTGGAGGTCAAAGCGACTAAATTCTCACTATTCTCAATATTGTCCAAGCATTGTATATACAAAAAAAAGGTCAATACTTCTTTGATAACAGTGGGTATTTTAATAGAATTAGTCAAAATGGTTTTCTGACTCCTCCATTCCTGTTGTTTAGCAACGGTTAGTAAATGTCGAAACAGTTTTTATTGAATTTCTCGAAAACAAATGCAGATACGAAAGAATGTTTTAGAGAAAAGTTGTTTGTCTTAAAATTCTACATAAAAAAGGTCTTTTTAATTTTTTCGATAGGACTAATTCTTTACTCAAAAATCGCAACTGAAAAGATATATTTTCGGAAAATAACATTGCGATATAAGCAGCGATTTTTTTAATATATGTATTTAATGTAGAGAAACATCAATTGCACACTGAGGGTGCGTTCCGTTTCATTCAATGCACGCATCAGAGGGCACAGAATTCCCCAGATTCCCACCACTTCTTGCGCATTAACCGTGCATTAGCTACCGCAGCTCAGGCGTGAAGCGTTTAATGCAGAGTTAATGCATTCGCGAAAAATTCAAAAAAGTTTGTTGCAATAAGATGGAAAGTGAGTTAATTGAATTCCCAGTCATCTTCGAGGAGAGTAATGAAGTATTGACTCTCTTTCTTGACAAGTTTGTTTTTAGTTAACAAAAATAACGTTAATACAGATAACGTTTTGTCACCCATGTTAGCATCCATTTTTGATTCGCATCAAATGTATGGAAAAGTGTTCCGTTACCAAGCGCGCATCATGCGCCTTAATGAAACGGAGCGATATCAATGCGCGGAGCACATTGAATGCAATCTATGCGCTCAATGCGTGAAACGGAATGCGTCTTAAGCCGAGTATCCACCTGTATCAAACGCCCGTATCGTATCACCGTTCCGAACCCTTTTGAATAGGCAGACGTTGCCTCGTTGCATGCCACGGCGTGCTACGGCTCGGACAATATTGCTTCGTTTCTTGAAAGAAACTCCTATAGGCGAGAAGTTTCGATTTCCTGCATACTGTTTCTTTATTGTAATTGTCCTAACCATATCGTGCTTGGTATCATTTTAATCAGAAAAACGTCACAAATATCTTGGTAAAAGTTTTATAAGAAAAAAATGAAAAATAACAAAGTTCAGTCATTGCATTAGTATTATCTCACTGATATATCCGATTCCAGATCATATTATCTCGAGCCTCAAGTATCATGTTTCCACTTGACATAGCATTTCGGGCCTTCGCCTGGGTATGTTGTTTTTACGTTTCAAGTGGTCTCCGAACCTATCCTTTGAACAGCAAGAAACCGACAATTTTCGGATCGGCCCGTTCCTTCACCTCCGTATCACAGCCCAATAGAACTTTCGATATTCGGCAACGGAAAAATCTCTGGATAATTAACATTGTCCTTTTTCAATAATCACAGAGATTCTTATTAACATTGCTCTTTTATGTACAGCGTATCACCGAAGATAATTGATCTGTTTAAATATATTTAGACGATAAAATTTGTCTAAATTAAATTAGATTAAGTTCATAAATAATTTCATCGATTTTGAAATGAATCCAATAATATTGCAAGATTTCAAATAAATTGAAACCCAAGTGACGGCATGAAACGCTATGTCAAGTGCAAACGCATAAACCTTTCCTTCGATACAACGGCAAAGAATCGACAAATTTTTCGGATGGGTCCGTTGCCTCCGTTCCTTTGGAACGGCACGCAGCAAAACGAAACTCCTCGCCTGTAGTGGCCCAGTCCTATTGCCGAACCGTTTCTATCAAGAAACGAAGAAATATTGTCCGAGTCGTAGCACGCCGTGGCATGCAACGTGGCAACGTCTGCCTATTCGAAAGGGTTCGGAACGGTGATACGATACGGGCGTTTGATACAGGTGGATACTCGGCTTAACACATGCTCACGCCAGAAGGCCGTTTGCCGAGGGGCACGCGGAAGAGGGGAGCCGCTCTCCTCGGCATGAGCATGTGTTAGACTCTATGGGCAACTGGTAGTAATGGAGCCGGAGCGCTCTCCGGCGCTCCGGAGCTTGTCGGCGAGCTCAAAGCGGAGCGTGAACCGAACCGAGCGGGGGAGAAATATCCCCACTTCGTAGTATCTCGAGGTTACGCAGTCGGAGCATGTATGTGTGACGTTCTCTGTCGAATGCCACACATTCGTATCACCTTACCGCCGCAGCTCGATTTCCCCTACAATGCTGCCCCACCACCTCGAAAGAGCGAATCAGTAGAGTGACGTGCGCTCACAAACAGCGTCGCTGTCAGACGCGCTCTTTGAGTTGGTTTCGTGCCATGCCTGTGTTAGAGTCACACGCCGTGACAGATTCGATGAAACCTAAGAATGAACATTGTCAGGACACATGTATACATTTATTTAGTAATTATATATAGAAAAAGCCACCTCACCGATTTCAATGAAATTTGAATATGTTGCAAAACTCGATACTTGGAATAACTTTTTCCAATACATATGTATAACTGACACTCGATCATAGTTTCCAAAATATTTTCGAGATGTTTTCGACAACGTATGTGTCAATATGCGAGTGCCGCTTATCTATTATTTCTGGATACAACGGCACCGTCGCGTCGCATCGCTGACAAGCAGTACGTATGTATGTATAAGGGGTGAAACGAAAACTGAAATTTGCGTAAGGTGATTGGAATGTTAGATTCCGTTGTTTAATAAATATTTTATCAAACTAAATACATACACGGAATTCTTACATTAGACTAGTGTTTCCCAACGTGGGGCCCACGCCCCACAGGGGGGCGATTCGAAAATGCACTCATCCAGAGTTTAAGTTAACCGTATGGCGACTCTCAGTCGCTACTCGAGCTGGGTAAACGTCCATAATTACTAATAATTAAAATAATATAGAAAAATCTTTGATTAAAATTATTTCCTACTTGAATTTCGGTTCTCTATTATATGTTTTGAAAATATACTTACTGTATTTCCTCAACAATTAAATTTTTGAATATTAAAAATTATGTTTACGTTACATAGGGGGTATAAGAATTTTAGAAAGGCTACAAAAAAGATTGGGAAACACTTAAAGTAATTTTCTACTGCTAGCGATTCTTTTTTACGTGACTATACAACTTTACTTCTGAAGAAGTGTTCTGGTACTGTTTTTAAAAGGTCAAAAGTCTGATTTTGAAAATGACGAGAATGAGGATTGGACCAATTGGAATTCTTGGATATTACTGAAGTTCAAAGGGTCAAGCGTATGATTCAGGGATGGTGAGTAAGGAATTCAAGGGCCGTATGCGTAATTGTATATAGAAGATAGTGCGGCTAGGGACAGAATTTAGAATTTACTTATCTTAACCGAAACGCGAAGAGTAAAAATATTTTCTTAGTCTATAACGGTATCCAACAGGAATATCAATCTGCCCTTTTTTTTACGTGGGGGAAATCTTCATCGACACCCCACCCTAATAAGGGCGGGGTAGTGTCGGACTCCTACGGTGGTCCTACATCTGACGCGGTGGGAGGGGCTCTGGGACTTCTGACCACATCTCCACGCCTCGCGCTTCTTGCGCACTTCTTGGAGGGAGTCAAGGAGACCCCCGTCCTCCTACCTGCCGGGACCAGGGACCACCACTGGCACCGGCCACCGCCGGGCACGAGGGCCCGGGCAGCTTCATTGATGTTGTGGGAGAGAGGGTGGGTGATCCTGTACTCTCTCCCCCATATATCAATCTGACCTAACCTAACTGAACCAGTCAAATTATAAATACCAATTTGAACGAATTACAGCCTGTAATTAGCCAATCAGTGAATTAGATTAGGTTAGATTATAATAATATTAATAGAAAAAAAGAAAGCTTACATATACTGAACCCACCTTGTATTTTTTTTCATCCGTTTATATTTAAAAATTGACGCTCAATGAGATGACCAAGAATGACGCATACGCTGACACGGACGTGTATGTATGTACTGTGAACCGATGACAAGATGTATGCAAAGTACATTGTAATAGCAGCAAAAGTTTATTGCAAATATCTCGAAAATTAAGGCCGAGCGGCAATTATATGTATGGGAAAAAGTTATTCAAAATATCGAGTTTTACAACATATTCAAATTTCATTAAAATCGATGAAATGCCACTCTTTCTACATGCAGTAAAACTCCATTTATCCTAACTAATGTCGTCACAGTATATATTCGATTAACCGAACATATTATTGAGCTCCTATTATTATCTGAACTCAGGCCACGCATGATATCAACTATGCAAACTAGCGTGTTTGCCTTGTATCTAAGGAATTAAAACAAAAGATAGCGTATCTTCGAAAACTCTTCATTTACAAAAGAATTATTACTCTAGTGCTCAAATCCAGTTATATGAACATCAGCTCCTATTATACGAACAGTTGAACAGTAATGGAAGTGGATTATCCCAATTATCCACTTATCTGAATCGTCATATCTTCCGACCGATTTGGATAAATGGAGTTTTACTCTACATAATTACTATTTGTTTTTCCTACAATGCTTTTAGCTATTCTTGCACGAGAGTCTAGCGTTCAGTCTAGCAAACGTTATCACTGAAATAACAGTTCGGAAAATATCCCGCATAATGTCCTTCGCGTTGAAAAAAGAGACAATACTAGTACTGTTATGTAGCGATAGTTATCGGTAATTATTTAGGAAGTGAACGACATCATCGGCTTTGATGATTTTTAAATGGGTCGTTAAGCTCAATATTTTTAACAACTTTTTTCTATACATATAACCGTCCCTCAGCCCTAGTTTCAGAGATATTCTTGAAAAGCGGTCGGCACTATTCATTGAATTTTACCTACCCACACGTATGCATAGGAGGCAATATATGCGTCAGTATCAGTGCTTGACTGTAAGCTGTTAAACGAAGGACGCACGTCCTTAAAAGCACCGTACACAACTGGACATGCGTGGCTGCAAAAAATATTAGGTTATATGTTAGGTTATATTTTTCACTGGCTGGCAACACGCCCTTAAAATAATAACTTTTATTTACGTTGAAAACGATAATTGGCACGCCCGTAAAGATAATACTTTACGACCCCTACAACTTTTGTTTTAGTTATTTTCCGTGGAAATGCGTTCTTATCGAGATAATAGGGGGGTCCCACACTTTTAGAATACCCTGTATATCTCGAGAACGGTTTATTTGCCAGTTCTGAAAATGGTCTCATTCGATTTCTCGTCCCTCAATTACTATAAATCCGAAGTTTGGTTGTCCTAGGGTAGGGGGGCCTTTCGGAAGTATACCCCCGAGACGAAACACCGTTTCTTATTCAAGAAATATTCTTGAATATCCTATCGCAATCAAAATAAATTATTCATCTGCCACGTAAAAAACTGATTAAATGAATATAGAAATATAAAATATTCCTAATAACAGAGACAGAGCCTTCAAGGACGTCTGCAATAACACGTCAACTGACGGCCTGCGTGCCTTATGATGTAGTTTTAATATAATAGATTTTAAGGTTATTTGTTTCTAATTAAACATTTTCAATAATATTGTCTTTACCCCTGCCCCTTGCAACCCTTTAAGGAGAGTTCTGAATAATTATCTAACACTATTTAATCATTTTATAATTTACAGTTTTCAATCTATGGTTAAATGAATTCTTGAAGAAACCTAAACCAAAATGGCGACATATTTGGAAATTTCTTGCGGCCTCGTAGCAGTGTTTCTTGCACTCTACTACTATTTCACGTCGACCTTTAATTATTGGAAAAAGCGTGGAATCAAAGGTCCAAAACCCATACCAGTGTTTGGCAATATTATGGCACCAATGTTAGCAAAGGAGTCATTGGCAAACTTTCTAACGAATCTTTACACGAAATACAAAAACGAACCAATGATTGGAATATTTGTAAGAAGAGAACCTATTCTAATTATTCTTGATCCTGATATCATCAAGGATGTCCTTATTAAAGATTTCTCCAAATTTGCAAACCGTGGCTTCATAAAACATGAAATAGTAAGTAATAAACATACCTTTAACAAAATTTAATTCTATACATAATTTTCGCCAACACTAACAATTTTGACAACTCTTTATTACAGTACTATTATTTATTAGATTTTCGAGAAAATTTTTTAGTTTTCTTTTTTTTTTTAAATTAAAATTATTTATGTCAAATTGTTGCTATATTGTAAGCGTAGAAACCGCGACATGGAATCTTCTCGAAGATTCGGGGATATCCCCACCACCGAAATAGGCAATAGGCATATATATATACAGGGTGTCCCGTAACTTGTGTAACTCCCGGAAACGGGGGGTTGCTGGGGTGATTCTGAACAACATTTTCCTTTACCAAAATGTCGTTTGAAGCTTCGTTTTCGAGTTATTAAAGAAAAACACTGGCCAATCAGAGCGCGCGCCGGGCGCGCGCTGAGCCACGGGGGCGTTGGCTTTCAACGGCGCTCGGTCGTGGTCGTGAACAAATGCATTGGCACAGCGTGGGTATCAAGTGAAGCGTGCGATAAATGTTACATCGTCTTAAATTAAGAACAATGTGGAATCATTCGTTATTCATGAATAATGAATGCGTTTGTGCCAATGCGTTTGTTCACGACCACGACCGAGTACGGCTGAAAGCCAACGCTCTCGTGGTTCGGCCTGCGCTAAAGGCGCGCTTGATTGGCCAGTGTTTTTCTTTAATAACTCAAAAACGAAGCTTCAAACGACATTTTGGTAAAGGAAAATGTTGTTCAGAATCACCCCAGCAACCCCCCGTTTCCGGGAGTTACACAAGTTACGGGACACCCTGTATATAAGTGACGGTCCGCGGACTAGAGACAGATTCAGACAGGCATTAGACGCGGATTACAAAGAGATCAGACCGAGACAAACGATTACGATAAACGGCGTGGTTCCGCGGTTGTGCTACATCGAAGTTTAATTATATTATTAAAAACGCTCAAAAGTTACCAACATTACAGAGAGAGCATTTGATTTATTTAACAATTACCTTCCTCTCTTACAATATAATATAATTGTATTTAATCGAAATATTTTCTATCATCTTTTATGATTTAATATACCTCTCAGATAATTTATGGATTCCATTACAAAAGGATAATGTAGCTTTTGGTATAACGTAGCCATTAATGATTTACAAGTTATTATTATTTATACAATAAATTTGTTTTGTAATGAATGATTCAGGTCCTTAATTGATCTACATAAATACAAACCTTATAGCTCAATTGCCAATGTTATAAGATCTATTGGAATCTAGAATAATGGTATTAGAATAACATTATTAGAATACAGAATAACATTATTATTTTGGGGGCACTTATAATTAAGGCGATGTAACTGCTATCTTTTTTTTTATTTATAATATTTTATTTAACATTTTAACTAACCATTCCTGTTCTTAATCCCAAAATTTCAAAAAATGTCTCGTGCACCCCTTTCGTTCTAAATGCTTTATTTATATAATGATTATTCAGTTTCAAAACATCAACAGTAACTTGCGCAATATCGAACACAGTAAGCTTCCCCAGGGAAAATGGTGTTACAGAGGAAGCAGCAATTCTTGATACTTTGATTTTAACAATATTAACATTAAAAGTGATTTAGGAAAAATAACATAATTAAATATTAAAATATTTAGTATGTAACTGAAAAGTACAAAGAACAAAGTAAATATTACTTCAAACTTTCCCGGGTAAACGTTTATATGGAAATGGCAGAAAGCCGTCGCAAATCTGTACAGTGCATTCTAGAAAGAGTGTTAATCCCGTGAAAGAGTGATCGCTAAGGTAGCTCTGAACAACTTTTTTCTCTGCCAAATTTTTGAATTATTAACGAAAAACATTGGCCAATTAGAGCACACGTAGAGCGCGGGCTGAACCGCCAGAGTGTTGGCTACCGATTACGATCAAACTATGGTCGTGAATAAGGCGGCGATAGCACGTCGGCACAATCTGCGACTTCGTTTTCGAGGTATAAGGAATTGAAAATTGGAATATCAAATTCTGAAACGCGTGTTTTGCTCTCGAACAGCTGACAGCTGAACAGTTGGCCTATTCTCTAGTGTCTTCTTTGTCCGGACACTGGCCCAGGATCTGCTCAGTTGTTAGCTGTTAGAAAGCATAACACTCGCTTCGGAAGTTGATATTCCAATTTCGTCACCGAGGACGGGCAGGATTCCACGGAAGAGGAATCCCCGGGAAAGTACTGGAAACCTAAGGAAACCTAAGGAAAGGAAGGCCTACGAGGAGGGTCAAAAAATCGAGAACCCGTGAAGTCTACAGAGTGTGGAGGTGTGACCTTGGGACATCAACATTTTTCTTAAGCCTCGTACAGACTTGAGTATTTTTGCCCGAACGGACGCTTTCGACGCACGAATGCTCTAGTACAGGCCTGTCTAACTGCTAGAAGCGAAAGAGCCACTGCTTCCACTCTTACCGCTTCAGACTTCCTCCATCATTCAGTAGTGTTAGTAGTGAGGCAGCGGTTTCTCGCTAGATGCTATATCTGCTACTGTGCGTTGCAGCTAAGTTGCCGAGCACCAACAAACTGAACCGACAGAGGGGCAAGGGGACTGTGCGTTCGCTCCACCTAATCCCCTCCAGGGGCCCGTAACTTGAGAAGTGAGCGGCCAGATTGCATAGGCGTAAAATTTCCATATTCGCGGAAGATACATTTAACTATATAAACATGCGATTTTTTCAGGATATTAATGGATTTTTTATAATACTCGTTCTTGACAACAGTTGTTATTATGCAAAATTTATGGAAATTACATTATGGAAAGTGTAAAAACTCTCCTGTTTTCTTAATAATGTAAACCCCGAATCTACCTCTACGCCAATGCATTTGACTCGCCACTCGCTATCGCTTCATCTCATTCTGTTTCAATGTCTGTCCTTGACGACGTTCGTCACGCGATAGATTTGTGGATGTAAGGGCCTCAACCAATAAACATAATACGTGTGACTGGAGGCAGGTCAACGAATTTGATTGGACGGCAACTTAGCTACAACACACAGTATTGTAAGTGTCTACTAAGTTGAGACTCGAGGTGTGAAACGCTCCGCCTAATCCTCACCTCGAACCCTCGTCTAGTACATAGTAGTAGTAGTAGTTTCTACTAGTAGTTGTAACCTAGAGAGCGAATAGCGAGAATGCGTGTGGGTCAACTGTATAAGTGTGTGTGTCTAAGTCTGGCCCATCTAGCTCCGACCAATCAGACCCAATTCCTTAGGAGTCTCAACTTAGCAGACGCGTACAGTACATAGAACTAGGAATACACGTCAAATATTGGAAGAGTCGAGAAACCAACTGAAAGAGTGGAGGGAGCCGAGCACGAGCTCCGTGGTAGGGGAAGGAGCCACGAGTGGCCCGCGGGCCGCAGGTTAGACTACGGATGGGCGGTGTTCGACAAAAATATCGATGTTATAATAATCGATTAGTTGAAAAGTCGATAATTGAACATCGATGCTTTTTAAAAAATATCGAAGTATCGAATTCTTTTTTACTAGGGCTGATTTTGGAAACATCATCCTGAGCACACTTCCTAGAGTGTAGCCTAGAAAATGCATATACAGGTAAACAAAAAATATTACACTATCTTTCTTATTTAAGTTTTCCTAAAAAATATAGTTAAATCAGAATCGTACATTCAATGTTAACTTCGAAGAATATTAATGAATATCCCCCAAGTAGTAATAGTATTTTGCGAGTACTTGAGCTGTAAGTGCAACAGGGTTGACTTCGTGATTAGAAAAAATGTTTTTATTAAATCTAGGAAATAGGGTATTCTAAGGATAGATATGCATAAGCAGTGTAAACATCAAAATATTATGCGTACTTTATAAAAAGTCACTGTACCTGCAATAGTAGAACAGATGCAAAAGGATTGAGATGATAAAGAAAATTATAGATGGAGCATTTGGATAAGATAATTTTTAAAATCTAAGATCATAGAATAAGAGTCACAAGAATATAATACCACAAATGCGTAAGGCGTTCTTATTTAGTCGCGTTCCGAAATTCACTGCCACTGCAGGAATCTAATTACGTATTACAGATTTTCAGTGCTGGCAATGAATTTCGGAACACGACTTATACCCAATGAGCATACAACATTTCTCGAAAATTAAACGCTCATTGAATAGTGCGCGTCGAGTTATCATATCATGCTGTTCAGTTTTCTCACAGAGATAAAAAATACCGATGTTATGTAAAAAAGTATCGATAATCGATTAATTGATTTGTAGAAACATCGACAAAAATAATCGATTATTAGGAAAAAAACTATCGATATTTAATTAATCGAAACATATTGCCCATCCCTAGGTTAGACAAAGGATGTTTGTGCGAATAAGCGCTCAGTGTGGATGGGTTTCTGGTAGTACGTCTGTTCCTGACGACATTCTGACTTCGACTGATTCAAGACACCCCTGGTAGAAAGATTTGCGCGAACAGCCGGAGCACGATTTTGTACGCACGAATGCGGTGCTCGAGAGAACGAAGAAATTTCACCCGACCGAACGTTCGCGCGCCGAAAGCATTCGTTCGGGCAAAAATGCTCAAGTCTGTACGAGGCTTTAGGGAGGCTTACTTTGCTCGACACTGTACATTGACACAATATTCTACCATGTGAATGATAAATCAAATTATTTAATGAATATAGGCAGAACCGTTATCTCAGCACCTCTTTGCTCTGGAGGTCGAAAGATGGCGTCCGCTAAGAACTCAACTCTCTCCAGTATTTACATCTGGCAAACTCAAAGGAATCTTTTCCCTGATTCTTGATTGCGCTAAACATTTGGAAAAATATATGGATACTTTAGTACAGAAAGGAGAACCCATCGAAATCCGAGAAGTAGCAGCCCAATACACGACTGATGTGATCGGTAGCTGTGCATTTGGAATTGAAATGAACTCGATGTCGGAAAGTGAAAGTGAATTCCGCAAAAGGGGCAGAGAAATCTTCGCTACTAACTTTACAGCACTTCTGAAGTTCAGAATGAAAGAATGTATGCCACAGTTATATAATTTACTTGGTTATGTACTTCCTAAGGATAAAACAATGGCATTCATTGAGAGAATCACTATAAGTACGATGGAGTATAGGAAGCACAACAACATAGTCAGATCAGATTTTATAAATACACTTTTGGAGCTGCAGAAACATCCTGAAAGAGTTAGCGGTATCCGTAAGTTTTAATGTTTCAAATTCTCTTGGATCAGTAATTAATGTATAGTGATTAAATTATACTGTTCAAAACCTATTTTAATTTAGCGATATCGACTAGTGTAAGTAGGGGTCGGGATGAGCCTACCTCTTCCTCTAAAATGTGAATTGGTCCCTCTCAAAAAATGTAGAGTGGTCTCCCACGCTCTAGCATTTTAAAATCATAAAAATCCAAAATTCCGAAATTTCAGAATTCCAGAAATTCAAAATTTCCAATGGTGCACCCCGAAAAATTCCTAGTTAAGTCAATGAGGATGTCTGATAAGCGTTTCACATAGGCTACCCCGAAATCATCGAAATTATTACATTTAGATAAAATTCATTCTGTTATAAAATTTATGGTTCCAACTCTCCAAATAGTTTTAAGATTCCAATTGTTATTGCACATTGCGAAATATAAAAACAATTAAAATTTATTGCACAGTATTAATTACGGTTTGATGATCAATGTTTTGCTACAATAATATTTTGTTCAAACTACATCGCCGACTGATTTGACTTTATGTTACTATAAGACTTGATTTTCGTCAAGTATCATACACTGTATTACTCCTTCTTTCTTTAGAATTGACGGACACGTTGCTGGCTGCACAAGCGTTTGTGTTTTTCGCAGCTGGTTTCGAAACTTCATCGACAACGATAGCCAATGCCATTTATGAATTGACTCTAAACCAAAAGATACAGAATAAATTACGAGAAGAAATTAAAGAATTCGACGCGAAAAACAACGGGGAATGGAAATACGAAACTGTCAAACAGATGAAGTACCTGGATAAAGTTTTTCGAGGTAAGTACTATTTTATTTCACTTGAATAACAACTTGCACACTATTTGACTGTAGGATATTTTACACATCAATACAAATAAAAATATAGAATAGAATTACTGCAGGATTATATTCACTATATCTTAGTAGATTGTTTCTTGATTTGTTTACAGAAACATTAAGGAAATATCCGCCCCTACCATTTTTAAGCAGAGAGACAACGGAAAGTTACACGTTCGAAAACCCGAAGTTGACAATTCTTAAGGACGCCAAGGTATGGATACCGCTTTATGCAATTCACAGAGATCCGGAAGTTTACCCAGATCCAGACAAATTTGACCCCGAAAGATTCTCAGAAGACGCAGTGAAAGTCAAGCACCCCATGCACTACATACCCTTCGGCGATGGCCCAAGAAACTGCATCGGTACGTATAAATGAATAATTTAATTATAAGCTCGTGATAGATGACATAGTATCTGCAAAAAATGATATTTATTAATCGTATCATGTTTCAAAAGGTATAGAGTATCGAGCAGAGTAGGCTTCCCTAGGGAAAATGGCGTTAGAGAGCAAACAGGAATTCTTAAAATCTTAATTTTGACGATATTAATACTAAAAGTGATTTAAGAACAAATAACATGATCTTTTATTATTAAATGACATAAAATTTAGTACATATTAAGATAATGTGAATAATGAAATAAACTTGAACTTTATGTGTAAATGGTGTAACTGATCTAGAGTCGCCACTGCAGGTGAAGTGGCCAGTTGAATTTTTAGTAGTACAGTAATGCCTCTAACGGTGTCCGTAATCTGGGAAGCGAAAATGGACAATACGGGTAGAACAGATACTACTTCCCAAATCTCACGGCATAAAAGCCGTAGCAGCTAACAAATTAACAATAGTTTAACTTTCTTATTTCTAAATTTTTCTGCATGCAAATTGTTTTAACATATTGGTACAATTCTTTTGATTAAAATGAGACCAAACATTGCATAGTTTGGAGATTTTCCTTTGTACATAAAATAAGTAAATATGATCCAAATTATAACGTGTTTGGTCTTATTTTAACTAAAAAGGTATCAACAATATGTTAAACAAATTTATGAGTAAAAAAAAGTAAAATTAAGAAACCTATATTGCTTTATTATTGTTGTATTCCGCTCGTGATATTTATTTTAATTACAAAATGGAATCCAGACGAAGTTTTTTTGATACAATATTCGTCGTGCTGGTAGTAGATTCTAGTTCTTAAGACGGTTCGGAAAAATCTAACTCGGAGGGAAAAGTGCTGGGTAATTTATAGAATCGGAAAAATAGGAGAAATAGGAAAAATAGGAGAGTGGGAGTTATTGCGAGTCCAGTGATCGGTAAGGGATGAGGTCGTGAGTGCAAAGTTTGAAGATGACTGTTTCGGCTGAGTCACGAGGAGTAGAAGGAAAGACTTGGATGTTTGTCGTTAAAGGTTGACTTATAATACAGTGAGAAGGTCGGTCTATCTAAGTACAATAATGAATAATTCGGTATACAACATTATAAACTGAACTCTCATCAAAGAAGTCGTGTCGCGTGTTGCGTAACTGACTCCAATGAAGAGAACATGGACATCGGATGCGACATAGGCGTAGGAAGAAATCGGTGGACAAAGTATTATAGGGAGATGAGAAGTTGATGAGGTTAAGGAATGCGGGTACGATTGGTCGTCGTCGGTAAGTCACTTCTCACGCAAACGCCTTCTAGATCGTCGCGCGCTATTGGCCGATGCGGTCACACATTAATCGCGTCGCCTGACAAAGCGAGATGGTATGAAGTTAGCGTTGCGGCGAACTTTGAACGAAGTTGAAGTTGAAGAGAGGGACTGCACAGGGGCAAAGGGAGCACTTCGCACGCTCCGTTCTGTCCCCACGTTTGATCCTCGCGTAATCCACACCATTAGATTTTAGCGGTACACTCTTACATGGGCGTAGCAATTTTATATTTCCGAGGGAAATAGTACTAAACGAAATACGAAAACTGTGCTGTATTGTTAATAGAAGTCAATTATTTTTCCTTACATATGCAGGGTGTTCGACAACAGGTGGGAGATTTTTTAACAGGTGATTCTAGGAATCAAAATAAGACGAAAATCAAGAATGACAAAATAGCGTTTGCGGCTTTGTTTTCCAGTAATTAACATTTAAAAATTCGAGTAAAAAGCGCCTAAAACCCGCAATCTGCCCAGCACCGACGACTGAACGTCAGGCCAGCAGGGGTGGGTACAGTCATAACCAAGAATCTTTGAATAGTAGAAACTTACCTCATGCTATTCTGTTTCTCGGTACTGCAGCATTCGGCTTTCTCTTCTTGGTTATGATTATACCTACCCCTGCTGACATGATGTTCAGTCGTCGGTCCTGGGCAGATTGCAGGTTCTAGGCGCTTTTTACTCTGATTTTTATACGTTAATTACTGGAAAACAAAGCCACAAACGTTATTTCGTCATTCTTGATTTTCGTCTTATTTTGAAAAAATCTCCCACCTATTGTCGAACACCCTGTATGTATATAACAAAATTAAATGTTCTTAAAAGACTGAACTTAGAGTCTTATAACAACGATTTGAAATTATCCGCAAATTGATTTCTAAAGTATTGCAAAGATATAGAATTTAAAATTTCAAAAGGGAAAGAGAGTCTTGAAGCAGAAACATGTAGCCTATTTTGTGACATTTTTATTTGGTTTGTATATGAAACTCTATAATACGAGCCTACGCCCATGGTTTAAAAACCGCAACACAGACGTGGTCTCATCTCACTTTGTGTCGTAGCGTCTTTGTCAGGCGACGCGATTAGTATGTGTGACCGCATCGGCCAATAGCGCGCGACGATCTAGAATGCGTGTGCGTGAGGTGAGACTTATCGACGACGATCAATCGTAACCGCATTCCATAGCCTCTTCAACTTCTCATTCCGCTATAGTAGGTAGAACAATATTGGGACAACGTGAGAGGCATTACTGTATAAATGAAATTTTTATTTCAAAATATTAACTTTGTATCGAAATATGAGCATTACAATCAGCAAAAGAAATTAAGTCCATTGATGTTAGTTTAAAAATGATATTAAATAGTAAAAATTTTAATCTCTGGAAAGTTAAAATTAGTGTTTATCTCCTTAATCAGAAAATATCTAATCAAATCTATATTTAATGTTTATGGACAAAAGAACGAAAGATGAACTATTATGCCTTTTATATAGTTAATCAGTTTTCCAAATTTGACGTAAAATCTCATTCCGATTAAAAGGAAACACCATTCGGGGCGTGAGAGACTCTGTGATTGGGGTGGTATAGCTATTGATTTCTGTGGCCATTGATTCTGTTTGCCGGTGTGAAATCCAGCTAAATCTTAATTTCAGAAAGAACGCAGTGACACTGAAAGATTCGACAACTATACAAACTTATTAAAACCTTTTTTAATTATTTATATCATAAAGTTTACTTATTAAATTATCAATTATCAAAGAAATACTAAAAAGTATAATAAAAAACTATTGCAACCATAACGCTCCGTAGTAGTGGCCATGTTACCACGCTTGTGGGGCGTAATGGCCAAAAATTACACTTTCTAAATACATTGTCATTAAGATTACAAAGTTCATAAAGTTATTCACATAAGACAAGATGGAATGAGTTAGATTAAGGATTGTGGATTGTTTGAACGCCGCGCCGTTTGCTTTTTCATTTCTGATTGCTAGATTACTTAAAAAATTAAATAAATCTATAGTGACCATAACACCCCACCTACCCCTGTATGTATGTGGCAGTCTCTCCTTCCTTACATCGTCATTTTCCTCGGAACCGCCTCTGGGTAGGCGTGGCCTACGGTGAGATTCCTGAACTTGAACTCGCGAAAGTGGTAATTCGCGAATCCTGGAAAGGATTTTGTGGAGCCAGCGGCCCAATCCATTTACCTCTGCGCTGCGCCGCGCCGTTCAGTTTGTAGGGGCTCGGCAACTTACGATCTCTGCATAGTACCTACATACCGAAGAGGTACCCACAAACCCAGAAAAGCCTACGCGGTGGAAGTATTGCACTTTTTTTTTAGCAAGCTTACCATGCTCAACTGTACATATGTTTTTAAGCCAGAAATTATACAGTAGACTCTCGTTATATTGCCACGTGAGCGATTTGACGGTCACATGAATTTTAAAGCATACTAGTGCCATCCTTTTCCACCATCATAGTTCATGAAAATGATACATTTCTACCCTCTCTCCCCCCCTCCTTCAAATGATACCTTAGAAGCTTGACAGATTTTCCACTCCTACTGTTTGCTCGCCGGCAACATAACGATAGTTTACTGTGCTGTTACGAGCCGGAGGGGGCGGATGCGTAGCCGGGGCTTAATTTAGGTATATGGTATTTGTTAATGGTTTGACAAGTGTTATTATTAACACTGGGAGCCTAAGGAAGTAGACGTGGAGACGAACCTACATACGTATGGCTAACGTAGGGAGCTCCAGGAGGTTGGCTATAGTGGACGAACCTACGTATGGCTAACGTAGGGAGCCGCAGGAAGCGTTAGTATTAGCTCTCGTAACTTGATTGATGTACCTCGAGCGGTAAAGGTACACCTTAGTGAGTTTCTGGATAGTAAATATAATTGAATAATAGGATGTAAGTTAAAAATAATGTGAGTTTATTCTCTATTCCGGGACCTTACAATTGTTGTGTGTAATTGTCGCGGTGTTCAGTGAATTAAACTCTAGGTTGCAAGTTTAAATGAGTTGAATAAATAGAAATTAGTTTCGATTCCGCGAAGCAAGAATCTAATCCTTCTCGATTTTCACGAACGCGAGCAAACGGGGGCGGACTACAACGATTAAAATATTGCTTAACAGCAGACAACGTACTGTATAGTTACTGTGAGTGCTTGAAGGGGACTTGAATACCCGATCTCGCAGAGTTTCCTCGTTGCAGAGATTATCCGTAAAAGAACGTACTGACGTGTAACGAACTGATTCTAGACTTCAACTAGACCCGAGGTGCCCTTGTCGCTACCCTTTTTATACTCAAAAACTAGAGTAAAAAAGTGGTGGGGACTGACTCTACATGACCCGTAGGACCGCGCCCTTGCTTTGCATTGGTCTCAAATTGTCTAGAAGACGGTTGGTGTCGGGGGCACCCATCCGATTCCATATAAGGAAATTTTTTGAGAAGGGTTTGTAACACCATATAAGGAAATTTCCGAGACGGATACGTAACAGTGCTATAGTATTTTTTACTGCAATTTGTTGAATGAACAACGTATTATATGTTCATCAAATTAGCAGCAGCCGTCACAATGAAATATCCTAATTGAAATCTGAAAGGAAACAATAAATGTATTTCATTCTAATCCATTATTTTTTGTAATTAACAACCAGCTATTTTGTGTTAAAAAATGATAGAAACACATATAATTTTCATTAAACTTTAAGTTAGTCAATAATTGATTAAAAAGTAAGTACTGCGATTGTTTGTTTTTGATGTTATTACTTTGTATTTTCTGTTCCAGGTGCACGATTTGCAATTTACCAATCAAAAATTGGCATAATAACTATTCTTCGTAATTTTAAATGCGATATTTCAGAGAAAACTGAAATTCCTTATGAATTTGACCCAGTTGCATTTATAATGTGCCCGAAAAATGGACTGTATATAAAAATAACTAAGCTAGAAAGTTAGTTCAAAAGTTTGCACACTTTCGATGTTTGTGCTGCATCTAAACAACAGAAATTCAGTTGAATAATATATTTAATTCGATACAAATAAATATAAAAAATAACATATGATGGATACCGACTATACGTTTTTCATATATATATATACAGGGTGTCCCAGAACTGGGGTAGGAACGGAAGAGGGATGATTGGTGAGGTCATTCTAAACAACTTTTTCCTTTGCCAAAATGTTGGTTAAGGCTTCGGTTTCGAGTTATTAACGAAAAACACTGGCCAATCAGAGCGCGCCGTTAGCGTGGGCGGAACCACGAGAGTGTTGGGTATGTTCCGCGCGGTCGTGATCAAGTGCCTCGGCACTACGTCGGTATGATGGGATTCGTTGAGTAGAAGTTGCATCGGATAATGAATAAAAAAAAGAAAAGAATAATTGTATCGAATTATTGATTACTCATGAACAACGAATCCTATTACACCGACGTGGTGCCGATGCACTTGATCACGACCGCGCGGAACATACCCAACACTCTCGTGGTTCGGCCCGCGCTAACGGCGCGCTCTGATTGGACAGTGTTTTTCGTTAATAACTCGAAACCGAAGCCTTGACCAACATTTTGGCAAAGGAAAAAGTTGTTTAGAATGTCCTCACCAATCATCCCTCTTCCGTTCCTACCCCAGTTCTGGGACACCCTGTATATATATAGAATTGTACGCACAATCATTTCATAAAAATTAAATTAAGAAATATTAAGGAATTAAGTTAATTAAGAAAAAAGTGACACTTACCTGAGATGGCAGAAAAACTCGTCAACACACTATAAATACCAGTAAGGAATACTAATATTCACTCGTAATATGACGATCGTCAACGATTGAAATTCACACTCAAAGTGTACGGAGACTCGCTATACGTCTTGTCGCAACAACGTTTCACGAAAAAGTGTCGATGGTGGCTCGTCATATTCCCAAGTTGGGAATTCCGCCAATCGTTTGTCAGCGCCCGGGATCTGTTTTCTGTTTAGGCCTTGTCATAAAACAGCAGGCCCCAAACTTCGGTCGTTCTCGCCGCGCGGGTGACGTACGGGTCATTCTACCCTATTTTGGACATACGTCCCATCTATGTCCGTAGGACCTTCAAAATGGACGGTCGTAGGACATACGAAATGTTCGGCTTACGGACGTCCGTAGGACTTTCAGGACGGACGTTCCTAGGACATACGAAATGTTCGCCAAACGGACGTTCGTATGAATTTCAAGGCGGACGTTCCTAGGACATACGAAATATACGTCTTGTGGACATTCCAAGGATGTTCAAAATGGACGTTGGACGTTCGGACATAATCTGGACATAAAACGGACGTCCCTGGGATACACGGTGCTATCTGGGTATATGTATATATGTATATCCGTGATGATCCCTATTGCAAAAATTTATGGAATTTGTTGTTTATTAATCATCTAAATTCATCTAAGTTAATAGCTAAGCAATAAAAATGCAAAATCACCTTTCGCTATTCTACAAATACTGCACATTCCACTAAAAAGTGTAAAATAAAATAATTGTTAACAAAAAATACAACCAACTTCAAAATGCGCTAAAAAATGTAAAATAATTTCTATTTCTATTTATACCCATGCTCCACAGCTATTAATAAAACCTATTTAATCGTTAAATAGTATACTAAATACATTTCAACCTTCTCGAAATAATTCAAAAATACCCGAATAAACGATGCTGCCAATAACGATTTGATTGCGGCACAGCATGAAGAACTTGGTAATTAATAAGTCACAAGCAAAAATACAGAATGTTATCTAGGTGCACGGTAGTGCAGCAGCCAAGTTCTCGCACTACCTCCTTTTACACGAAACAACTTAGCCGTTTTTAAGGGGCTTATAGCTCGGCACTGGAAGCAGATGGAGAGATGTAATTTCATACACTTGTTAAATGCTATCATGTCTCAATATTGACAAAATATTAATCTTCCAACATTAGTAGGTTCCGAGATATAGGACCTCAAAAATCGCTAAATTTGTCACTGACTGACTGACTGACCTATCATCAAAACCTTTTGGGTACTTCCCATTGACCTAAAAGCTTGAAATTTGGTACGTAGGTCCACCGTAACAAACAATCAACGGAATAATTATCAAAGTTTGAAATTTTACACCTTAAAGGGGTTGTATTGAAAAAAACATTACGAAATACGTACGTGGGATGGAACATAGTAGCATAACATACATAACACAAAAAATTCAAGGGAAAATTGTACATTCAATTTTCGACTCTTATGCCCAAAATGGGATAAAAAAGTAGTTAAAAAAAAAAATTTCCAAGAGTAAAATCTACATAATCTAGGTAAAGTTTACCCCATATTTTCACATTATATTGCAAAAATAATTATCATTAGCATACTTGATAATTGATGAAATCTCAACAAAAATCGATGAAATCCCAAGAAAAATATCCTGTAAACAGGAGCCAAGTTCTTATGGCCGTACAAAGTTGTGAGATCAAACTAAATACGGCCAAGTTCGTTAGCTTAGAAATACCTCATACAATACTGAAAAAAGCTTTTGTGAAAATTAGGTTAAATGAACGCTATTTAATTTTTGAAGAGTTACATGGAGGGATAAATAATTCAAACTTGGCCGTTACTTTTTAAACCAATGGCCATAAAAGGTGTTAGGTTACCACACAAACGCTATTTCGCCATTCTTGATTTTCGTCTTATTTTGATCCCTAGAATCACCCCTTAAAAAATCTCCCACCTGTTGTCGAATATTCTGTATGTGATAACACCGTTGGTGATCAGTCAGTTGTGGATTTTGAAATAAAGGTAGATAAGGTTTCGCAGATACACAGAAGAGAATATGATTATTACGGTAGTACCTGTTAGTGATTTACAGACATTTATTCATCTTTATACAGGAGAAATCTTCCGATCTAATCCCGATTTTAACATTTTCCGATATCGCATTCTGCAACAATGGGATTGAAATGCATATCTTCAGGGCATTGGCCTTCTGTTGGTTCTCCTTTTACGCAGTAATAAAACTTATCACAATCTTTATGAGCTACTTTTCGGTCGCCAATTATTGCACAATCCGGTAGCCATGGTGGCCTTACTGACGTCGTTGGCGTTGGCGTTGGCGTTGGCGTTGACGTTGGCGTTGACGTTGGCGTTGGCGTTGGCGTTGGCGTTGGCGTTGGAGTTGGCGTTACAGGGGAATCACCTGGACAGGGTGCACCCTCCCAAACGCAAATTGTCACGTTCTCATTAAACACCAATTGGACGCCATTTTGCGACGAAGAATCTATTAAGAATCCGTATCCTCCTACGCATTTGTAAAACTCACGACAATTCGTCTTATCACGAATATAATGTGCATTAGTCGCTGTCGTTATACCAACAATCAGAAACATTAGATCTGAAATTTGTAAAAGGTAAACGTAATTCAACAATCTTCGTTCTATAATGTTTATATCGTGTATTAGATTTTCAATTGAATATTAATTGTGTAAAATTTCAAATTCGTTGCTCAAGGCGTTGAACGTTGCCTTAAGAAGGTAACCGCCTTTAAGAATTTAGTATAATAGAATAATTGAAACAGGTGTTAACCAATAAGCATAAATAAATAACGAATAACTTTATAGAAGTAAAAATTAATCGCTATTCGAAATTCGAAGGTCTTCAATGACCCGCAGAATACAAGATACTGCCTGTATTTATTATTACAAATTACTGCTTCAATTTTGACGATTCGTCCTTCGCGAAGCGCAATTAAAAAATTTGAAATTACTTACATTTCATGATGGATATCTTCTAACAACTGTACCGAAAGAATGATACGCGTTATTGTACCTTTTCACCTACGAATAAATTTGTATCCGGTAGATCGTCTTTTATAGTCGGTTTACGCTTATCGTTACCTCATTATGAATATTATTATCCTTATCGTTCTACACATTATCATATTTAACATCTGTTTTAACATCATGCTTTATTTAATGTAAACATATTTTGAATTATTTGCCTTTGGAAATACAGCTACTATATTTCTTTTAGTTCTTCTTCCTTCTTCTATTTGATAACAAACTTACTCAATTCAAAACCTTAGTATTGCGCAAACACCAGAGCGAAATCTGTTCTATACTAGAGAAATAGTAATGAAGATAAAATTATTTATTCTAAACGTTTAAGAGATCGTAAGTAGAAAATGAATAAAATAATTTTTAACAAAAAAAAAATCGGACTTCAAAATGCACTAAAAAGTATAAAATAATTTCTATTTCATTTATACCAGTATTCAATAGCTATTAATAAAATCTACTTAATCGTTAAATAGGATACTAAATACATTTCAAAGTTTTCGGAGGCGGCGCAAAATTAAAAATACCTGAAAATACGATCCTGCCAATAACGATTTGATTGCGGTATTGTTCCGACCGTTCAACGAAACAGATGTACGAGAATTTCTAAAGGGAGTTTATGACAGTTCTTCGACGAAAAGCTATTTTTGAGTTTAGGCATTTTAGCATTTCCGGGTAATAACCGTTTATCTTTTTTGAACAATAGAGTCCGATTTTAGTTTTCGTTTTCGTCCTCAATAGCTCCGCTCATGTCATAAACTGGTTTTTCCGAAGGGTAAATTAAAATTTCGGTATTTCGTAACGGTACCCCAGCCTTCGAGGCGTAGCCGGGCTTTCGAGGTGCTCGTGCACTCACCGACATCGCCCCACTCTCTCTAGACGAAGACGCGCTAAGGACGCTAGAGAGGGTGGGACCGATTTTCAGGGGGACACGCCGATTGGAATTTTGACTTTTCGTAGGAAAACCAATCAGCGCGTTGTCCCCCAACTCGACATCTCCAAGAGAGATGATATAGAGGCGTTCGTAACGCGACGAGGACACTTCGGCTTCTTCTTCTTCTTCTTACAAGTTTTCGGTAACCAGAAAAGGAATATTTAGACGTAAAAATAACTGCGATATAGCCATCGTTTCGGGCACGTTTTTTTATCATCTGGTCTCATCGTCTTTTCGGAGACCAGGATAGACAATTAATTAATGGAAATTAATTTTGAAATTAATACGACGTTTCGGGCAACCCACGAAATTGCCACGAGTCACGACAGGTATGGCAAACTTGGTAATTAATAAGTCGTAAGAAAACAAATTCGAAACGTTATAGATACGGCAGAAAACATTTGTAATCGTAACGATTGTATCAGAAGTTGGTAGCACTTCTGTTATGTATACTGTGTTGCGTGTCCGTTCCGCGGAAATAGTGATTTTCGGGATTGAACGCGCAGGTAAGGTGATTCGTGGAGCGCAGAAGCACTCCACTTGCAAGGCGCGAAAATGAAAATATTCAAACTATTATTTACTGTTGACTATGATTTTATATTTCAACTCTTTATTTGAACAGACTTGAAGACGTTAACTTTAAAATGCGTTAATGATTGCGCGTGAGAAAGATCTGTCTATTTTAATTGACAAGATCTTCGCGCGTTGTCCGTCGATGCCCCTTCCTTCGTGGATCCTGGATCCTCCCTCAGGATCATCCCTCGTCCAATGGTGGAAGAGTCCACCCCGTCTTGTGTGGGCCCCTTCTCCTGGATGTGGTCCACCCTCAGGCGCGTGGAAGTGGAGACGAGGAAACCGTGTAATATGATCCGACCGTAATATCGGTGTGACTAATACTAATTGAACGATAAAACTATTTTATTTTTAACTTTTTCTTAATGAAACTTTTACTAACGCATTTATGAGATTTTTCTGATTAAAATGACACCAAACACGATATAGTTTGAATTATATTTATTCATTAAAATAATAATAAAAGGATAATAAAAAATATTGTAGTATTCTGATTAAACTGATACTAAACACGATATAGTTTGAATTATATTTATTTATTTATTTATTTATTTAGAATAACTGCTTAGGTGCTTTATGATGTTAGGAAAAGTCCGTGAGTTCTATGAAACCGGACTGTTTCTTCCTATTGAAAATTAAAGTAATTTACAAGCTAAGAATAATAATAGAATAATAATAGAATAAATAAACAATAGTAATAGAATAAACAACATAGAATTGACACCACGACTGAATATAAATGATGTGTACAGACGCAGAATCGATATGTCGGCTGAATACAAAAGATGTGTACGGACTCAACATCGACACCTCGCTTGGATAAATGCAACATTTAAATGCCCAGAATCAACACCTCGCCTGGATAAATACAACATTTAAATGCCCAGAATCGACACCTCGGCTGGTTTTGGTTTCGACTCTCTTGCTTTTCGCCAACTTTTAACATCAATTTTAGCAAGTAATTATAATTCAAACTATATCGTGTTTGGTATCATTTTAATAAGAAAAATGTCATCAATCCGCTGGTAAAAGTTTCATTAAAAAAAGTCAAAAATAAAAAAGTTTTATAGTTGAATTAGTATTAGTCACACCGATACGTTTCGGCTTTTTCCATTGATCATTGGGCCTCTCTCTCTTTCCCCACTCTCTGTCTCTTTCTACGTTCACGCTTGGCTGGCGTCGCGTATAACCCGAGATTCGACACCTCGCTTGGATAAATGCAACCACTGGGTCCCAATCTCGGTTGCACTTATCCAGGTTTTACTGTATTCAGCTTTTGCTATGTGTAGACGCGAGGTCCCTCCATTTATTAGTTCTAATAGTACCATAGTACTTTTTTATGCAGAATGTTTCAAGGAGTTGACCCAAGTGAAAAAGAAAATGCAATTCCATTTAAATAAAAAGTGGATTTGCATTTTTTGAGTGCATCGTTGCATTCACGGAGAAAATGAAATCACAGAAAAATAGACATTATCATACCATTGAACTTTTACATAAACAGCTTTTTCCTATCTCATACCAAATTCAAGATATAACTCGTTCCAATTGCATGACGTATCCTGTGTTACGAGCCGGGGCTTAATTTAGGTATATGGTATTTGTTAATGGCTTGACCAGTGTTGTTATTAACACTGGGAGCCTAAGGAAGTAGACGTGGAGACGAACCTACGTATGGCTAACGTAGGGAGCTCCAGGAGGTTGGCTATAGTGGACGAACCTACGTATGGCTAACGTAGGGAGCCGCAGGAAGCGTTAGTATTAGGTCTCGTAACTTGATTGATGTACCTCGAGCGGTAAAGGTACACCTTAGTGGGTTTCTGGATAGTAAATATAATTGAATAATAGAATGTAAGTTAAAAATAATGTGAGTTTATTCTCTATTCCGGGGCTTTACAATTGTTGTGTGTAATTGTCGCGGTGTTCGATGAATTAAACTCTAGGTTGCAAGTTTAAATGAGTTGAATAAATAGAAATTAGTTTCGATTCCGCGAAGCAAGAATCTAATCCTTCTCGGTTTTCACGAACGCGAGCAAACGGGGGCGGACTACAGCGATTAAAATAATGCTTAACAGCAGACAACGTACTGTATAGTTACTGTGAGTGCTTGAAGGGGACTTGAATACCCGATCTCGCAGAGTTTCCTCGTTGCAGAGATTATCCGTAAAAGAACGTACTGACGTGTAACGAACTGATTCTAGACTTCAACTAGACCCGAGGTGCCCTTGTCGCTACCCGTTTTATACTCAGTAAAAAGTGGTGGGGACTGACTCTACGTGACCCGTAGGACCGCGCCCTTGCTTTGCGTTGGTCTCGAATTTTTTAGAAGACGGTTGGTGTCGGGTGCACCCATCCGATTCCATATAAGGAAATTTTTTGAGAAGGGTTTGTAACACCATATAAGGAAATTTCCGAGACGGATACGTAACACCTGTATACTTTTATTAATTAAAAAACATTTATTTAAAGAAGTTGTAACAATACTTTAACTATATTTTTTACTCGTTTGGTAACGGGGAATTTTTAGGTTGTCTGACAAGAAACAGCGATAGATGTCTGGTAGAAATCTGCTTATGTATTTTCTGAAGAGTCATACAGTAAGGAACCTTTACGACTGTAATTAATATTCTTTCATTTAGAAACCACGAACGCCACTTCTGGCTTGTGTATAGATATATATATAACAATTTATACCGAATAACTTTAGAAAACGCGAACGCCACTCCTGGCTTGTATATAGATATATAACAATTTATATCGAATGTTTTTAGGCTTTAAAGAAAAACGCGGACGCCACTCCTGGCTCGTAGGACAATGCTTGGCTGAACGACCTATTGAACTAATCTCGGTTCTTGTGAGAAAGAATAGAATCTAAGCAATTGGTGTATATATGAGATTATCAGAACAATGAGAGGTCTTGCCCTTGCGGGATAGAGTCGCACGTCGCTGATGTGCACAAAGTCTTTGCGTTCCGTGATGTCTAGGAAACGTCCAGAGGCACTTCCGTGGTCTCTTGGATTTTTCCAGATTCAGTGGTTCGTTCAGTATCGTGCTTCCTCACCCACAATAGATGGAATATTTGCCGGAACGACAATTGCACACTTGCCACCAGTAATGGGTAGGCATGCACTGTCGGCGGTTGCTATTAGATGTCTTTGAGATTCGACTGACAAGAACCGAAATTATCAATTTAACGCAACTAATGGTGTAATTTGTTACGTTGGGCGAGACTATGTTATTTGTCTATCTTGGCACTCTTGTTTAGAACAACTAAGAGGTTTCGGCAGGGCACGATTACGTGACCTCGACGATTTCTCTGTCTCTAACAAACAGTGACCTTGATGTTGATACTATTTGTTACATGAATATTTGAAATAATTGTCTTGAATATATAAAACGCGATGCACGAATCATATGTGCCACAAACCCAGGAGTCACAAACTGAGTCGCGGCACTGCTTCACGGAATTCGTATTTCACTGGTGTTGATGTGAACCGATTTAGTGTAACAGAATTTGGATGTTATAAATTCATTAAACTGACTACTACG